TAGTTGGGCCAGAGTTAATTCAGTGGCCCCGGCGTGGTTCAAGACCACATGCTGGGGCCCACAACACATTTTTCATCTGCGTTTGGAACGAAATCCATGAAAGGTTTGCTTTGCCGCCTGGTGAGGAGCAAAATGGCTGTAAAAACCGGATTCAGTTTGCTCCATTCTGCCAAACGAATGGAATCCATGCAGTCAAATTCTCTATATGCAAGTTCTTGGTGCTCTCTTAGGTGATAATCCACGGGTAACTCTTTTTCCTACTAAGACTCGGTGATAATCACTATCAATGCCGGAAGATCGCCCAGGGTGGCATTTATCGTCTAGAATGGATTCACCACTTTTAATCTGACTAACCCACACTTTAAGTGTCATATGAACAAACACAATACGTCTTCAATGTTTTTGTTTTAATTCCAACACCCACTTTCCTCTTTCAGCTTAATTAAAATAAGCTAATGAAGAATGTAACATTTTGTTCTCCATTCTGAATATCAACCTTGTAAAGGAATTCAAATAATTATTTTTGAAATGTAATGTTTTCACGTTTAAACAACTATCAGTTCACAAAATGATTATAAAAGATACGATAGCACAGTCAAAAGTGCAGGCTTCTGCTATTTATGCAAGTAGAACATGAAGTTATAAAATCTTATAGCATATCAGGAGCTACCCGTGGAAGGAGTTGACTCAGTAAGACACAGCTTTTGTGCAACCCACTGTACGATCATTGAGACAGGAAAAATCGGTTTCCTCGATGGAGGGAACTGTGAGCCTGCCCGCAATCAACGTACCTGAGCAGTTCATCCTAATTTATCATATCAAATATCATGATTTGCACATGTTTTCTTCAGCGACCAAAACTTTGAATGCTCACCAGCACACCCTTTTCTCCCATGTCTGAAAAGACAAGGTCAGAAACAATAAAAACATCAACGAACTCACCACTAAACGATTCATCTTCCCGGAGAAGAAAGACAGTTGGACCAAGCCATTCGGGTCGTAGAAATGCATTTTGAGTGTCATTCTTATCCCCGTGTCTGTGGAAGGTAAATTGTGGGGATTTGAGGGATCGTTTTTGGTGTTTATGAGACGGTGGGGACGAAGGTGGTGATGGCGGCATCGGAGGCATATCGACACGCACCAAATCGGGACGCAGACTATCAATGACCAGGGTAAATGGGAGGGGCCATTGACCCAATTCCCAGGCCACCTAACAATTTAAGCCAAATCCAACCAATGAAGAAACAATACCATTGGCTGTACGGTATAATGTCTTGTTAAATAGTCAAAGCAACAAAACGGCAAAAGCTGCAAACTAAAGCTGCTTTAAAGTTTAGCTGTGCGACATATTAGGGGTTAGGTAGGACATGTTTTGTGAACAAAAACGGACTGGGATGAAGGAAACTTTTGGTAACGCCAGTTAAGGTGCACGGGAAAAATTGCTTGCCAATGACAACCTGAGGGCTTTACTTGCGAGCTCCCCAAGTACTCGAAGTGAGCATCCAAACATTGCATAGGTCGTCGATTCTTTGGTTGTTCGATTTCTGAATTTTAGTCCTTTAAGCACTCACTCGAAGCCCAGTGACAGAACGGTCAATTGACATAACCTACAGCTCATTGCATTGCCTAATGTGGATTGTAATAGGGTGCCAAAAAGACCTGAATGGCCTTAAAACCACGTTTTTTGCTAAATAAGTCAATTTATGACGAGGAAGACTACTGTACACAGTGCATTATGCATTTATGTAGAACGTAAATAAGGTATTATCGGAGGCGTAATTGATGACCTCATGGTACTAGGGCGTCACTTACGAAGAGCAACTTTGAACTTATGATGCATTTTCCCAAAGCCATGTTCAATGAAGGTTATGGCATGCACGTGATGCTTGCAGACATCAAAATATCTGAAAACACTGAGAACTTAAGGGAAAGTCTAACAATCATTAAAACGTTCCAAATTACCCAAAATTCACAACTGTTCTTGATATAAGACAGCAGTGATTACTATTACTTCCATGGGGAGTTGGATACCCGGTAATTCGTATCAGCAACTCCAACGGCGTTCAGGTGACTTTGGGTTTTGCTAATTCATGTTTGAATCTACTTACTTTCCCCTGTTTGGTATTGACGTGCTTTTTTTCCTTACATTTGACGTACACAAGTTAAATTAGTAAACGATCAAATCTAGTGTAAAATAAAAGAGTGGACTCTTCCCACAAGTCTTACAAAACCCTCGTATATAAAGCATGAAATGTATGAAATGGTGATTCAGAACTCAAACAGGTGTGCGCAAATAATGCAAGTAACTGAATGTCCTCTTCTGCCCTTTTACTACTTTGATTATTGGTGGTCTTTATAAAGGCCAAACCTTTCCCATGATCGGATATATTATTGCCTCTAGATTAGACTAAACTTACGACAGACTCAACATACGGTTACAGAGGGATTTTGACTGCATTATGCGTTTGCACATACCCATAGAGAAATGGTGATGATTATATAACTTAAACAATGCTTGCCTCCACTATGCGATGCCACGGGAGGACACTCTCATCAGAGAATTGAACAGTTACTACTAGTAATCCCTGTCGAGGAAGGGTTTGTGATAAACTTTGTCGTTTTACTCTTCGATTGGCACCAAAATTGTTTTCTCTTTGGAAGACAAAAGAATCTGCGGAGGCGGCCGAGGTTGAGTGATTTGAGGAACCTGTACTTCGACCTACGCGACTTCCGGAGAAGCGGATATGTGCTGTGTAAAATGCGAAATCCAAGTTTTCTTTTCTTTTATTCATTGTTTGGTAATGCGACTGCGTGGCTCCAATGGGAAGCTGGTTTTCTAAGCGATCCTGCTGCGTGACGGTTACTGTGAGGTCTATAGTAATGAAATGCAAGGGTGAATGCTCGCATAAACACAAAAGCTGGTAGATAAAATGTTGCTGCTTAGAGAAAACAAGTCGAAATGCTTGTGTGCCAGCATCCAATAAAATAATGCTATTATATTTAAGATTTAAAGAGTCCACAGCCCAGAATTTTCTTCATTATTCATAGTTGACATCTTACACAACTAGTAAAATCATGCACACCTTGTTTACACACAGAGTATTACCGTTATAAAACTGGGATTACACTCGGCTTTCTTGGTTAAAATAATGTTTACTATGATCAATTTTGAACTAATTCTAACGCATGTGGTGCATCTGATGTAATTAGGACCAGCGTGGCTCGACCTAAAGCATCCTGTTAATTAGTAATGCAACCGCAAAAGCACAGAGCCCTTACAACAATAAAGGTGTTGGAACTAAAAGCATAGTAAAGTTCATTGGTTATGAGCACACCTGACGTTCCTTTAAGAACACCTTAATTGAGCTTTGGCCTAACGGTGCCGATGAGCGACAAGGTGTCTCACGCATCCGCAATTCGGCAAGTTCCGACTGGCGTAAAATTCGTCCACCTTCTCCCACACATTGGACATTTTAATGAAAAAAACGAATTTATAAGTGCCTTTTTTTCCTACAGAACACTTGAGGGTATACACTCCATAGCTACAGTTTTTATTAATGCGATCATTACTTATACATAAATACAGAACTCAGGATATAAGGAAACCGACGTTTAACTTTTGTAGAACACTTCTCCTAACATAGCTGGGGTTAGCGGAATGCCAGATTTTGAGTGTCTTTTTTTAAAAGTTGCTTGACAATATGACTAAGAATATCTTCGTAAAAATTTTACGTGACTTGAAATTGACTTGTGGGTGATGAAGTCGTTGGCAAAATTGTCAGCGGCTTCAAGGAATCATCTACCCCTATGAGATCGAGTTTTACTTCTCTAAAATTTGTGAAGTAAAACGTGATACCCATGACGGCTTCGATATTATGGAAATGCGTGTTCGAAATAACTTAAATAAGCTGTTTGCTTAAGATAATATTACAGTGTAAGTGCAGCGCCAATGCGCGTGTATTACTGCGTATCGCTTAAAACAAAGAGTTCTTGAGGCTTCACTCAGCCTAAATCACTTAAATACAGACAATTTTGTTAGCAGCTGTTCGCTAGCATTTGGTTTTTTAGTAAAGCCGTTTATTTGAACCTAATTTAAACTGATTTATTATTACGATAGATCGAAATCAGAGCCCCTTAAGTGTGGTTGTCGAACGCAGTTTCACATTTGGCAGTGGGGTTTTACCAACGACTATCAGGTGCGCGTAAAATCTGCGGCCTCGTGTGTCAATGACGCAGCAGGGACACTTCCGCTACCGTTTGATGTAAGCTACTCCCATGGTCTTACAACTTAAATCTTTCTGAATTTTTTGACCAGTTATAAAGCCCTTACCATAATAACAAGCAATTAAAAAGCGATCAACTAAATGCCAACCTAACGGAATATTGCAGTGTGTGATGTCGGAATTTTTAACTTCAAAGTAGAGGATTTTTTGCATGAGCTACAACTCAAGTGTTGACACGGAGCGATTCTGCTTATGCATCTGGGGACAAAACAGACAGCTGGTACAATATATGAGCCGCATAGTAATGGTAAATTTTACATCGAATTAGGAAGATGATCGTAAAAGGACCAATTAGTATTTCAGAGTAGACCTCCGATTGAGTTTGGCTTTATTCAAGAACAAGAAACTTACGTCTATTTACCAAGCCAGCTCATGTCCATTATTTTAACAGAGATATCGGGATTTAATTGCAGTTCCTGCATAAAGGGAATAATTTGAGGACAAGAAAGAGAAGAAAAATTGAAACAAGCTGTACCTGTAACAAGCTGTGCCGTGATTCCAACAGGCCAAATTGAATCGCCGTCAGTCACTGTCACCCACAGGATTGGAGGTTGATGTGGTTTCCAGGGGGATCCATCAGACACTGGAGACCGATGTTTGGCTTGTTGTTTTCTCAGGCGGGCCAAGGAGGCTGGAAGGGCCGCCTTAACAAGTGGTGAATCCGCCACTGAAGCTAGTTTGACTCGCACCCTCCCCGGTCGCCTTCCTACGAGCCAGACACGGGCTGCCGCCGGCCCCTCCTCTGATCGGTCCTGTCTCTGCTCTTCTCTAACCAGCACCAGCCGTACTGGAACCTCCTTCCCGTCCTCCATGAAAGAGGTTCCTTCGCTTGCATACTCCAAGCGTAGACAATGAGCCGTAAGGTAGGTAACGTCTAATGCAGGACTTGATGCACTCTCGGTATGAGTCGATGGTGAATACTCGCCTGACTGAATTCTGGCATTAGCGGTTGTGAAACTACGAAACAGAGATTTTTGTCGGGAGTGAATATTAATAGAATTTGATTTTCTTATTGCTAATTTGTCAATTCTAGAGTCTGTCAACGCTTAAAATCGATTTTTAAAAAAAAATTACTAGAAACATCTAACACTAGAACGTTCACAACCTTAATTTTAAAGTAAATAGCCAAAATTATTTTACATCACCTACACTGTCCTGCCACATTTGTGCGAACTTTATTCTGCGAAAAGTATTTATTATTTAACCCCTTATCAACTGGCGTAGGAACTGATTAATATTGAAAGTTGCGGGGTAACTCGGATCCACGAAGACAAGTTATGTTCCTTAAATAGAAAAATAACCTTTACATCACAACTACAGGTAGTACTCGGGTACAATAAGAAGACCACTAATCAACGGAGGCATAAACTAAGGGTAAAAGGTAATTTTTGGGAGATAAGCCTTTTTACCAAAACTGGACGAGTCAAAAGAAAGCCGACATGTGGACAAACATTTACGGCCACTTACGACGATATTTTATGGATTTTGAGGGACCAAGAGATTAGCTGTCCTCTTATGAGCGAGTTGGTTTAAAGTGTGTATTTCCATTTTGCCGCAGCATTTATCACGCTGCCCAGTCGAAACAACAGATTGAATTAAGAAATCTGACTACTGAACAATGCGAAGGAACTGCTTGGGTTCTTCCTGTTTGCTGTTTACTAGCTAACTCCTTTCAGGTCTGCGTCATAGCAATAAACACGAAGTAAAGCCCCATCCTTTCCACTAAACAGCGGAGAATCAGAAGATCATTTCGATTTATGTCTTGATGTTAAAATTCGCTTTTAAATATTTGTTGGGTTTTACTTTTGCAGTTTCCCTCTTCGTCGTTCCCTCCACTGAGTTTCGATGTTACTTGATCAGTACTTCCGGGGGACAATTCCTATATGACTGATCGAATTCCAGCTTATAAATGTATACCCTGACCATACCCAGTCAAAATTCTAGCAAGTCTAAAGAGGAAGGTCTTTCGGATGCCCAGACAAAAAGAGCAAACTAGTGTTCAGTAGATATTTCATTTAAAATTAATTCCTGGGTAAAAGTGGTTTTAGGATGTGAAGCACGTTCACGGGTCGGCTGCATCTCCTAGTTTGTCTAGATTTTTTGACCTGCTGCTAAATCCTCCAACAGAAGCACCTTGACGCATATTTGAGAATCATGTATAAGTTCCTTGGTGTAGTGGGAACGAGTAATTTAATAACCCTGGTTACTCGTGAGCAAATGGTAAGTTCCGCTATCTACTGTGGAATCAAACCCTCACCAAACCCGTAATTGTGTGAGATTATTGGGCCAGTATGTTGCTTAAGGAATAAGGCTGTACAGTTAACAAATCAGTCAATCTTTGTTTTACTTCATAGCATTAAAGTGAAGCGTCATCTCAAAAAATGAGCGATGATGAAATTTAGTCTGACGACCATGAATTATATCTCAGAGCAGTAGTTAAAAAGCGAATAGATTGTTGAGACAAATTAAATACTCTGGAACCTGAAAGTCAAAATTATAACCTTTATCTACTATAACAACGTATTCACGACATCTAAAATAACGCTGATATGTTCGTAAACCATAAATTGAAACGTGAAAAATAGAGCCATGTCGTTAAGTTGAATAACACAGCACGCATTGTGAGCTGAGATAGCTGGACTAAATGTAGTATGAACGCACCCTTGAACCTGCCAACATCCGAAACAAACAAGCGCAAAAAAAACAAAGAGAGTAGTGTCCTTGTCCCAATTTTAAATGAATATATGGGAATAAATGATAAATTCCTAGGAAGTTAGTTGCAGAAATTATCTTGAAAGAGAGAATAAGGCCACGTGTAACAAATTTATCAACCACACACATGGTCAAAGTGACAAAATTCTGGTCTGATTCAAAATTACATTGTCTGAGTTGGTGTGCCTTCATAAAGCGTCAGAACGGCCAAAATGGCGGCGTCCGTTCAAACGTGAGAAGAGGAAAATAATTCCTCTTGTCTGCCATGGCCCTGCTGATAACTTCGCGTGTCAACTGCAAGCACGCGCATCCCAAAATAGCCGACCAACCAGAGACCGAAGATGATCCTTTAAACCGGCCGCCATGTGCGCCGCTCCCTCCCGAGGCATTATCGAACCGTCCTTGAGCGCGCGCTTTTGCGTTCGCGCGAGCGCTTGGGCTGAGTTTGGCTCAACCGGCAGTGGGTTACAGGAGTGCAAATTCAGTTTGTCTCCGAGGGCCAAACTAGCGTGCTTCCACTACCTCGTCCCAGCTTCGAAATTATACGGAATATTCCAAATATTAAAATACGAGTCTCTGTGCGCGTAGTGTTACAGTGTTTGGGACTCGTTGGTGTGGTTTTGGTGCAGGGTAAAAGAAAGGAAATTAAAATTAGCACTTGTTGCAGAAGGATCTTCCACCGGTCCTCTAAAGCAAAGATGAAGACAGGTCCAAAAGGGGACTAAACTGTTAGTTTCTCACACAGCCTACTATAGACCAAAGTGAAATTGCACAGACTTGCATGTGTCCAAAGTGAAAACCAAATAAAGCATTTGACAGAGGTCTCATTACACACACTCTTCGCAATGAAGAACAAATAGCAACTTTAGAGGAGTTTTAGTGCCACTTAAGATACAACCAACCCTCACTTTATGGATCAAGCAAGCTTTTTATTTCGATTGTGAGGCGTTTGGGATAGGAGAGAATGGTCGCCAACCGGGCTTAATTGATTCAACGTGCACCACGCTTGAAGACTTTTGGGCAGTTCTCTAGGAAAGATCGGGGTATGTGGAACGAGGCAACGAATCAGAGGGTAAAACACCAAGGCAGTAATTTATGTTAAGTCCACTGCATTCGACCATGAAACATTTAGATCTTTATGAAAATCAGTGTAACTGAGCATAACTACGGGATGTTCTGAATAAGAAGAGTCCTTGATTTCAAGAACCCAAATTTTCTTGTCCATAAAAGAGCGCTTGAGTGTCTCTTAGATTTTAAATCGACACACACAAATACCTTTACATACTCTGGCCTAAATACGCACACAAACAAGAGCCAGTTAATGGATAATGAACCACCACGCGGCACAGTAACCACCGCAGGCAGTCCTCGAAAAGTTGCAGCGACCAGTTCGAACGGCGCAATCGCGGCCACCACACCTGTGTAATCCATGGCGAAACGGAGACGAAACTCCTTCTGGGCATGCTTTTTTGATCTTAAATCAATACGCCACAGAAATTGCAATCTGTCTTCATAAACGCAATTATGGCAAATTCCGGTACATGCCTATGGCTAACCAACTGGGATTGTAGCAGGAATTTCGTATGAAACTTTGGCTTGCGAAATCAAAAATGGCAAGACCTACTAATAGTAGAATTTCTTACCTTGCTCCTCGGTGCTAAAGTAGACATTTTAGGATACCGGTTTTAAGAAAAGTAACGTTCACAGTGTTAAGGTCAATTTGCCGTTGGTTGTGAGACACGTCTCAGTAATGAATGAATGAGGGACTTGAGAAAATAACCCGCATTATGTTGCAAAAAATTAACATGAACAGCCTGTTGACATTGAGCAGTTTGGCAATGCCAAAATGAAGCGATCCCAACATCAAGTAATGTCGTTATGCAAAGTGACGCTTTAGTTGAATTTCACTGTTTCAACCTCCCTACAAAGCCTTTAATTTAACCGCGTTACGTCGTTTTGCTGCGTAGAATCCGGCCTTTAAGTGGCGATTCTTTCAGAGACACTAGTCGTGGGATTCAGAAAAAATTTAAACGCGAAATCATTAATTGAGGGCTAGAACTCAGACATTTTAATTTTAAACTTAATATCAGGCTTCCTGGAAAAACGCATCGCTGCAAAAGATTATGAGTTACTCCTTCGCACTAATTACCTTGATTTATTGTGCTTATGGGAAAAGGATCTTACTTATTACCAAATGTTAAACAAAATTATTTTTTTGAGCTAAAATATCTGCCCAGCGTATCATAATGATTAAACCATTCTTTGATATGCCCCCCTATCCTGTCGCTGAAAAAGCACAAGACAATCTAGGAAAATGTGGCAATCAATGAAACAAAGGTAAATCACAAAAGAAGGGACTCACCGGGCTATAACGCGAAGGCGCTTTTGTTGAAAATGGGCTTCTGAAGTAGCGGCGTGAATGCGTGGACGTCTTCCCTGTGCTACGCTTGCCTGCTGGTTGCTAAAACGCAAGAAAATAACCGGTACAATTAGGCCAATATTCAGAAAATGAAGGAACCACGTGGTCTAGTGGAACGATCAAGGCATTCCTGCATTTGTGCTGCGTGCTTCAGTGGACCAATTTCAAGAAAAACCCTGCAGATGATGGTTAAACAACTATCTTGTATAAAGAGGATTAAACAATATGGGCATACACAGCTAATAGAACACAAGGAAGACCAAGTATTGAAATCCCTCTTTTCTTCCCCGAGTTAACAACGAAAATGACTCAGACTTACTCGGTTAATCCATGCAGAAAGACTGAGGTGAATGAGTATTCATGGAGAGGGTGTGTGGAGGAGGCAAAGGCCTGTCCCTCGCGAGGTTGATCCACGACTAACGAGACGCCATCCGATTGTCGTGGAAACCAGACGGTGACCTGTTCCCTCGCATTGGTACGGTCCACCTTGGCCACCAGCAAGAGATCCTGTGCACCACCCAACTCTCCGCCCGAGAAGGTGAGACCCGCCGCACAGGCATCGCGGGGGAAGTGCGCCACGGACTCATCCCCCGTGTGGCACGTTGACCGCGCCGTGACGTCGCGCAGCTCGTGGGCATGCGTAAGACCGAACACCCACACGGGGTATTGGCTTGGGTGGCCTGAGAGAACGGCTGTGTTGACTAGGGACCTCGACTAAGAAAATGCAACAAAAGACCTTGGCCTTTCGTTTGTACGTAAAGGAAAGAAAATGCAGCAACCACAAATAACAGCAGGTTTGGACTTTTGCACTCAACTCTTTCTCGGGCGATATTAAGCTGCTACATCGCGTTCAAAATGTGTGCTGGATTAGTACAAGATAACTACCGTAAATAAGTGTGATTAATACTGTTTTAGATAAGAAATCCTGAGCAAGTGGGCTAAATAATCTACAGCAAAGAATCATACCGGTTAAGGGGGTAGAAACACCTCTTAAAGACTGCCTTTCATTGGACGAAGTGGGCGACAGTCTCTAAGAAATCATTAATTTTTAAATTATGTAAGTAAATTGATAACAGGAGACCTCAAAAACCTAGACGTAATAGTAGTCAGTTTAACCCAAGCACTATAATTAAATGAATTATAGTAAATGACAAGCAGATAATACTGCAAGAAATCAATTCCATCGTGCAGTCTTTGGGTTGCTATAGGCGTTAAGAGCGTCAGTGATAACCAGGTGCTTCTGGACTTTCTAGAAACAGATTAAATTGAACTTTGACCAAGTGGTCATTAGAAAGTGTAAAAATCCCCAAGCAAGTGGAAATTCCTGTCAATCGATGCTTTGGGTAAAGTGCTGAAAAGAGAACACTTTAATGGATTTCGTAGAAAACCGCTGTTGTTCTAAGTAGCACAGGACATTTTGGGAAAATTATTACATTCAACATGAAACTCCTGGTTTAAAGTTTGGAAGGAGAGGCGGAGTCGTTTTTCGGAAGCTATCTCCGTTCTGAAGGTAAAATTTCACGACTTTCAGGCTAGAGAAGGCCGTACAAGCAGGACTTGCTTTTGGAGTGCACATGCAAACTTTTAACCTCTAAAAAGTTGGCTGGCTCCCAAATGTACACTTGAATAGACCAAAACATTTCTGAAGTTTTCTTAGACTCTGTGGCTCGATTGAGGTAGAAATACCATCAACTGGTAGGTACCATGTGCCTACAAGCTTTAGAATCATGCAACTTTGGCCTAGTGGGATTCCGCATGTTTCTGTTACGAATTTGTACTACTTCGACCGGTAATTGTGCCAACGGTCCAATTTTCACCTCAGTGTCATCCTTTACCTTTTAATGCACATTCTTCGTCTTTAGCAAAGACTTGAACCTGTGACAAATCATTGCAGAACTAATGCTTTTTTCATCAGAGAGCGTAACTGACATGGTTGGGGAAGTGTGCGCATACACTGTGCTGCCGTTGCTTATTCGTTCCTCAACCTAGACGCAGAGCAGGTACTAGCCACGAACAGTCACGCGACACTGGCCCCGTCTGTGCAAAGCGCCAACAGGTAGAAAAATGTGACCTGCCAAGAACAAATATTCTCCCATTCTAGCGCCTAATTTCTTAACAAGATGAGGATTGACAAAAATAAAGCGGTCTAGTTAGAGCCCGAATTTGATCTAACAAGGCCGCATGTAAGCCTCCACTTTGTCCATGCTTAAGTAAGCCCTACCTTAACTACCAAGACGAGATGCTTGAATTCAAAGGACTCAATATCAAGCCGCGTGACAATCGGACTTCCGCTGGTGGGTTGGTCGGCGGTGTTCTTTCGGGAGAGGCTGACCAAACTCCAGAGAAACCGTGGGCCAATTCGTCCGACCGAATCCCTCGGGGGCGGGACTACGCGAAACAGAAGCTTGTAGATAACTGGATCATCCCTGCGAAGACAAGATGCATCAACCACCAGGGGGCATTAGGAAATTCCTGTTAAACACTTTTGCTGCATATCGCTCAGTAAATGTACGAATGACAAAAAGAATTTGAATAAGAAGACATGAAAGCAGACTTGCTATGGGTTCAAATTTGCCTGTCAACCCTTACCATCCCGTTACCTTTTGATGACTGTCATTTCCTATGTCTTTTGTTTCTCAGGAAAGATTTGTTTAAAAAAGCTCATCGATTTGTTGATAAAGTAGGATGGCATCCATAGATTTAGTTAATTAGTCTAAAATCCTAGGTAGGTTCCTTGGAACGTTTTGGACTTCTAAAAATTTCTTTAGAGGTCGCCATGGGTCTTGAGAGACCGAAAGCCTGATGACGCCATCACGAATTTTCGTTGAGTGGCCTCGTTCCATTTTTGTAGATTAAATAAGTAGCGTAAATTAATGCTCAGATTCACCATTTTATTGCGTAAAGAAGAGTTGAATTCACATTTATAAGCAATTAATTTTTGCTGAAATAAACATTTCCAAGCGACCGCCATACCAACAATTTCTGATAATAGAATTTAGATATGAGTTGGTCCAAGTATTTTTTAAATGTTATTTGGATTAAGAATTAATTCAAAACTGGGAGTTAAATCTGATGTAAAACCCTCCCATTTGCATCCTGAAAACCAATCTCCGATTCTGCATTTGTTCATACGTTAATCCATGACCAGCGTTTGACAATGGAAAAGGGAATATTAGAAGCCTTAGATGCTCTGACAGAAAATAAAGAAGTGATTAAGCAAAGTAAATCAACGATGAAAAAACATTAATAAGGGTTTTTTGAGCATTTTTACACCACCAGATAAACAGAGGTACCAAAGGCAGGCATTTACCGCGTAATTCGGGTTAAGGAGAGACTACTGGAGGTGCTTTTACAATAGGAGGCCAAGAGAGGGGACAAGAATGTGGGATGTTTCGAAATACCATAATTATAAGCTTAATATTTCAAGAAATAAAATGGAGCATAGCATTTGTGATCGCCATCTCACAAAGTCAATGCAATTTAATTTTGAAAGGCGTGGCTTTAAGAACACATTGGAGCACGAAAATGAAACATCAAGGAACGTTAGTGACATAGACGGTACTCTACATGCTCTACATCATTTATTCTAAACAATGGATTGCTCTAACCTCAAAATACTTTAATTCGCTCAAATATAGATGTTGTAACCGGTTTTTCACCTCCCCCTGGATCGTAATTGCACTTTAATAAATAAGCCGAGATGGTGGTTACCCTAGTTAGATTGCAATGCCAAGCCAAAACTAAAATTCATAAAGTAGAGAAGCAACTGTAAGTATTCAAGGCCTAAGACATACTTATTTTGAAGGATTTGAAAAACACAACCTTTGCAAATTGTATTCTTCAATGAGCTTTTAAATTTTTCCATTTTTATGTTAATGTCACCAATGACCACATATGTTTCTTAAAGGCAACTGTCGACAGACCATTAAGTCTGATTTCACTTTGAAAATGTTAGCTAAAGTGCTCTGAGTCCAAAGAAACTACGTTTTGTTGTTACACGATGCGCTTTGGCCGAATACATCACCGAGCCATTTCATACTTGATTCATTTCTTCTAGTATGGGACATTGCATCACACAAGATGCATACAACAACAAAAATGATATTTGAAATATTTAATAAGAATAACATTATTTACAACAGCAACTAAGGCTTAATTCATTGGCTGCTGCTGAAAGAAAACCTCCAGAACGTGGCAATTTGAAGTTGGCTTTGACCTCATACTTAAGGGGCCCACAAATCCGTTAAAGCATCCCTGCAAAACCAGTGAACAAAGTAAAGTTCGCCAGAGACAAATGTGACCAGGCCTAGTCACAAACAAATTTAGTAACTTGCAGTTGCGCAATTAAGGACTCTAACCAGGTGACCTCCAGTCCATACAGTGTGAATGAGTATCTGGTTGCATTGGAACGTCTAATCTGTGGGTCACAACGATTGACACATCGTATTTGAGGATATTGAAGCAGTGAGAGTGGAGTGATTATTAGTTACTTACCAAAGGAACATCTTTTGACGGCTGCTACCAAACAGTGAGGAGTGCAGAACTTACAAGAAGACTGCGTGAAAACACTCAGTGAGGAAGTTAGAAGAACACGAACTACGTCATTCAAAGAATGCTCTTGTTCTAGTAAAGGGTTTCACAGGAAAGTGTAAGGTCATGAACTTTTACCACAGAAGCAAGATAATCAATTCAGAAAATACAGTTTCTAAATTCAAAGTTCAAAAGCAACTGTGGATGGAATACAGGGCATTCGCCAACCGCAGATGCAGCGCTTTCCATCACAGTGACAAGCACCAATGACGGGCAGAGAAGGTTCAAAGGCTCTGGAACGGTTGTTATGGTGTCTTATATGTAGCCCATTCAAAGTCTGAACTGTCGCTGTTCTTGCGATATTAATTAAAGGACAAAGCATTTCCTAAATTCACAGAATGCAAACAGTGAAGCAAACAAGGAAACTCTGAATGAAGAGCGATTCTCTAACATCCTTGAATAAGGCAAGTAATCGGTCACAGTCGATGTTTGTTATTGTAGTGATGTCAAAAACAGTTAAATGAAAGCTCATCTGTATGGAAGATCCAATAGATGGCGAAGGATGAGCCTTGACCCAGAAGCATGAAAACAGACAAACAAGACACTTAACCTTTATGTAACAAAGCACCACAGAATGTCTGACCATTAATTTTTAAAGTGGGCCGCGGCCATTATACGCACTATCAGCCATTGACTCGGTGGTTTAAGCGTCATAGTTGCCGTGGTTACGCACATGGGTGGGGGGAAGGAGAGGTGAGTGACCGCTTCGGCCGAAACAGCGACCTCAGCGGCAATTAAACGCATGCGTCTTTTTTATGTTGCATCTTGTTCACTGAATTGATCGCACCAGGGTCCCTACTTATGCAAAAGTAAATTCAGCTTAATTTGACTCCCATAAATGGCGCACGGCCCTGATCATCCCAAACACAAGTGAGAAATCACTGTCTCAATGGGTGTGCGCTTGTTATTTGACCGAGGAACATTGATGAGCCCAATAAGGACCATATTAACCCGAAAAATACAAAAAATAAGGCGTTTGGATAGGCTACTGCTTCAAACACCCAACAAAATCACAAGCCATTGATATTGCGCTTCTAATTTGCCTGCATCAACCGTGCTGTGAATGCGAACATAGTGTGGTCCCATCACGAACAATGACTTAAACGTCATATTTACATTTAAGTACACCCATTCATCCACTTACTATCCGCGCATCCACTATTCCTTAACACATTTCATTGAGTGTTTGACAATCTGTTGTATATTGGTAGCATTGACTACAAGGAAGAGCGTATCCTTTTCAAATTCCTATCTTTTCTGTGCAAATACCTGACCATCACTTTCATAAGACATGGGACAGCTTCGATGTGGTCAATTTTGACCACGTCAGTGACGTCGTTTTACAATCCTAAATGATTGTGCGTATTGATCCTTGTCGTTACTCAGTTTCTTTTTTTTGAGTGTTCAAGTGATGAGAAAAGGTCTTGACTGGGCCACTCTTGGATGGCGATGAAAATATTAACCTTGGACCAGTGATTAATGGGAGTCAGAGATTAATTACAGCGCCGAACGCAGCCAGAGAGATCAAATTAATCACATGAATGTCAATTTACAGTCTTGCAAATAAAATCGGCACTAACCAGACGCCCTGGAGTGAGAGCCAGCCATTTTAATATTTGATTGATAACTAGCGTTTTCCTCGTTACTTGACCGAAACTCAACTCACCTGGTGTTTGATTTTGAGTGTTCATTCATTACTCTAAATGGTTTTGCCAATTCGAAATGTCCTGAAGCATGTGAAGTCTTCTCGGTTGCATTTTACAAAGGTGGGACTTGTTACGGTAATTTTTTGAATAAAATAAGGTTCGAACTTCGATGTAACTAATTCAAATCACAAATCGGCCAATCTTATCGCTGCCCTATTTAAATTTTGACAATCCACTTTAAAATATCTTTTATGGTGTTCGTCATAATAAAATCTGCCCTTTGGAACACGAAACAAATGTCGTGGCTTAGAGCGACTAATTCGTAAATCTCAAGAGAAGGCGGAAAGTAAAAACGCCTTGCTTTTTAGAGTCTGTCACCTTCCTCCTCGTGAAATGTGCACAAAAACGAGAACTCTGTTGTGAGAGTAGAGGTCTTTGAGGGAACCCAAATCTTCTTTTGCGTGGGGGTGAAAGCTGGGGTGCCAAGAGCCAGTAAAAGACACGACTTGTACGTATTCTTCCCACTTAGTTGTCTACCTTTGTTTACTCTCAAGATCAACTCACATGCAATAACCTATTAAATCGCAGGACTTTCAACGTTTGGTGGCGTTACAGTTATTTACTCCAAGTCAGGGATTTACAAAAAAACAGTGTTTTCGAGCCGCAAGATTGGGCGGGATTAACAGACGGTAAAGTGCTCAATAGCTCTCTATTTTTTGAAAAAAAAACATACCATTGTTATAAGTTTAAATTAGGATTCCTTTTTCCTAAAAACTGCAAACAAAATCAGATATTTGTTTAAAAGGAAGGTGCTTGAGGATGTTTGTACAAGAGGTATTAAAGTTGAGAAAATTAAGTCAAGACAATTACGTCCAGGAAATAATGAATATTTTAACGAAACTCAAATTGATTTAACCGAAACAATCCACCCGAAGTAGTTTTACTGCAGCCTTTGGTTCTACCTAGTAGCCAGATAAATGTTAGGGGAAAATAATCGAATGTGCAAGGCATTTTGCAGCCGATGTGTTTGAAGTTAATGTTAAAGAGAAGCATCGGTCCTGAAATCAGACGTCACTTGTGCGCTGTTTTGGGGTGGAGGAAGAGCATTGAATGTCGAGTAGATTGTATGTATGTATGGTCTCATTCTGGTAGGAAGTCTGATTTTGATTTAGCCTTTGTCATTCCCCAAACATTTGTCGCACGGTGGATTTAACTCTGTTAATTTGTGGTCAAATCACATTGAAAATATTATTAGACTCATTTACAAACAGAAACACATTGCAATAGCCAGACCTTTTTCATTTATAAGTACACCATGAGATTAAGGAGCGTTCCACGGACTAGTCACCTCCGAAGAGCTTGAAGAAAACGATACCAGACCCTTCGCCTGTCTACAGGTCAACTTACTGGGGGAAACGCCATGACGTTGTCAACGAAAACTGAAACAAGTTCTGATAAATGAAGATTTTGGGGATTAGGCTCGGACAAAAAGTAAATTATATCGGTGTACAGAGAAGGACCAAACAGAACAGTCTGCTAATTCCCAAGATCGTGACAACTGCATGACAACATGTAAACTTTCCGTGAAAGGTTAAAAAGCCCGTTTATGATTGCTGGCATTTGAAAAAAGTAACGACAGCACGATCTGGGGTGTGTGCGTTTGCATCGAAATGCGTTTTATGGGCTACTACTGGCTGTCGCATTATTTTAATAGTTGCAACCTATTGAATAGATTGGAAAAATTAATTCCACATAATTCATGCTGTGTAAAATAACAAACTAAAGGAATGATAATGCGGATTTACACAAATTAGGATTACCATTGAAAAAACCTGCTTTCGTATGGCACGTTTGTCATGTTATTTGCAATTTCTTCGAGTCAACTTCCATGAGTTTGCTCTGATTGAGTTCGTGCGTATTTGTTCAAATGTGTTGGCAGGCAGAACCTTCAGCGATATACAAAGTTAAATAAAGTGCACTCCCATCATACCTTCTTCCTGCCGGCTAGTTTAGTGGTCCGACAAAAGAAGTCTTTTAGATGCGATTTGTGCTTGATCTAGCATTGTCATGATAGATCCCCTGGAAACGTCACAAAACACCAGCAACAATAATGGGAAAGTGATGGTTTGTTTGACAATTCAATAAAAAGCCTTAAAGCCAATTTCATTTTTTTTAAATAAATGAATAAATAAACTTCCCTAACCCTTCCTATTGTATTTTTGCTTAAGGGCAAGAATCGAATGCTGTTGATGCCAACCCTCATCGACAGGCAAATATTAAACGAAATTCGGGATTATGCCTACTCAAATTTGCAGATAATGTTGCCGTCATAATCAGTAATTCGAGTACTTGCTTGGAGATATGGCGTAAAAAACGACATGAACACTCAGATCATTCAATCGTGAATGAATGTAGAAGAAACAGCCCTGTTAACTATCTGTACGTCATTAGAGAATGAAGGCGATAGTATTTATAAAAATACTTAGCAAACTTCTCGCTTATGTCTTAATATACGTTAGATTTGAGTTAGGACCGGGTTCCAAGCTAAGTGTGCAAGTCTGTACTTAACCAGGTTTAGTGTCATCACAAAACCCTACTGGAATTACAACTGAGAGGTTATGTCAGAGAGAAGCTCTGTGGTAAATTACTGTAGTATTGATATACTACCAAAGTACGTCGAAATATGAAAAAGGGGTCTAAGCAAAATTACTTAACAGCCCCATAATCCGTTTTCTAGCACGTTGCAGACGGAAAGTTCGTTCCTTGAGTTGCCTGGATTTAGCTTGTCTGCACACTATTTTGTAACAAACTGCATTCATGGAGAATTTCCCTCCCTTGTGCATAATTCTACCAGACAGCGATACGCAGTTGCTGATTTTACTTGATTCGATTTTAGGCCATTAAATTGTGATTCTACGCGGACAGAATTTAACTTCGAAAACTATGTTACAAACCATGAATTTCTGCCCACCTACACAAGAACAGACTGGCATTAAGTAGCATAAACGAAGGTCTAAAGAAATGGCAGCCAGATGATCTGTAAATGCCAGAGAGGGATTGTGTGAACGCAAATGTCTACAAGCGCAGGGGCGCAGCCAAACAAAATAAGCTCGAGCTAGCACTGGCATTAATACGTTCAAGTTAGGATATTATTAATAAAGATATAGATTAAATATAGATCACGAGGCATGCATTAACAATAAATGGCTAAAATTCTATTACACTAATAAATTCTAACATCTATGCAATGCCTGCATCAGATCATTTAGTATTTAGGGCATTGCTTAAAATGGTATTGTCAAATCGCATGTGTTTATTAAAGTTCTAAAGTCATTATTGCCTTTTATTCATAAACGCAAATAGCAAATAATAAAGATACCCTGAAAGCAGCATCAGATGATTATGGGCATAATTTATACAAGCAGTTTGTTTACAAAAATGCAGACTATCCGAATAATTTTTTACAAAGTGAAATTTCATTTAATGCCTTTTTGTGGGAATATAATTTCTGAGCTGTACTAGTAAGATAGCAAAAGCGTTTCGCAAAAATGAACATAGGTTCAAAAATATGAATTCAAATCATTATATTGCAATGTCTTCATTTAATCCATTTGCAGTAAAAAATTTAAAACAATATCAATCACTAATTATAGTGGAGCATTGAAAAGGTCTGAGTTAAATCAGTTCAGTCAAAACAGTAGCTACCGATTACCTGTAACAAAACAATTTCTAAGTTCTGATGGCGGTTGAACCATATTTATTACAAGACAAGCAAATAACAGTTAGTTCTGCATAATAACTGAATGACGATATTAAGAAAAAGTAAAACGTAGCACACCTGAAATGGTCATCAATGCCTGGATCAATAGCTGTGTCACGGTACTGAGCTACAACTTCGGTGACGTTGCCCTTTGGACTTGGAATAAGACGCTGCGATATGTCCCACGCCGTAAATCCACTATTAAGTTGCAAAAGATGTGCACTAGAATCACGACCGTTTGATAATATGGAAGATTCGTCAACTTCCCAAGGCCAGACCACACGCACAAATTCAACGAAGGTATTAATAGGGATTTCACATCTAGAAAACAAAACTTTACAGGATCGGCATTACGTTCACAGGTTGTCTATGATTTTCAATAGAAATATATGGAATTAAGTTTAAAACACAAGAAATACGTATAACCCATTATTAATTTTGTTTTTGAAACATTGATAAAATATCAATACAAATGTGCCGCAATACCTTAACGTAAATTCCGCTATGTTGGTATGCTGCTTAACCCTCACGGGGACACTGAAGAATTCACCATTTTTCAGTCGGCGAGTAGGTATGTCTAAACGAACGTTGCGACCAATTTCACGGACTTCATCACGCTGAAGTTTCTTTAATGAAATTTTCTCCAAAAACTTGAAATCAGACATTTGTGTAGCTAATGGGGTCCAGCATTGCCTTGAGAGCGCCGCGGAATCCATAATTATGTTTGTTGCATGCGATCTTGTGTAGTGAACCGTATTAATTCCATAACTGACGTCAAGCTCATTGTTATTTGTATCATTCCACGCTTTGTTTTCTATGTGAAGTGATGCATGACACGTAGACCGATTAATCAAAGACCAGTTGTCAATCAAACAACCAGTAAAAAAGTGGCGATTACTAACGGTGACTTTTATAACGCAACATGTGCTCAAGCCATTATTTGCATTTTGAAGAACGTCGGAAGCAAAAAGAGAATGACAAAGAAAATGGAGGGTGGGATCATCTTCGTACAATTCCTTTTGAAATAAATGAACAGTTGTAAGAGGGTGAGTATGGCAGTCATCAGCATCCGAATTGATAGATGCATTAACCCGCAAGTTCCCGACATTTATATTAAGCAATACATCGTCAACGCTTCCAACTGAAACAAAGTCTTGAAAGAAAATAGATGACTCCTTATTATATTCAGTGTTAGTAAAAAAAGTAGCGCCACTTGGAACAAATCGCGAATTGAGAACATCGGCATCAATGGTCCGCAATGCAAGTAGTAAAGTCAACAAAATTGGCACTGGTTTGTTATCATCCATCATTAATAAATGCCAACACACAAATATTTGTGCAGTGACATGCTAATCTCTAGGGTGAACAGCAAAACCTGTGTCCTAATGACATCCACTAAAGAAAACAAACCGCAAGCTTTGAAAGCGATGTCAAAACGCCGCCAGTTATTTTAAGGTTACGCAAACATGCCGTTTATGACAATGATATTAAACAAAAATTATATAAACAAAATTATCCAAGTTACTTCTTGTTAGACTTCAGTAAATTTTGCATTACAAATACAATAACTAAAAAATCCTCATAATTAGCAATATGATTCTAGATACAAAAAACTTTGGCTGTTAAAATCACACCATATACTCACAAGATAACTATAAAAGCGCCAAAGCACAGCATTTCTTTAATATATGAGATTTTTAACTAAAACACAAAAGAAATTATTTGGTATTAATTTGCCGCAGTCAACGCCTTCTCAAAACTACTTGCTTTCACTTTTTAAGAAAATTCTTAGATGATGTAATACGTTCATTCTTGTGTATTTAATGCTTGTGCGTATCACTTTTTTGTATTTTGCTCTCCTAGTGTAGAAACAAAGTGCTATTTTTTCAAGTAAAAATTTCCTAAAAGAATACAAAACATTTTGCTTTTATTTATAGTACACTGTATGCATTGTTTTATAGTTTTAAAAGTGTTCTATGTTAATATCGTTGGCGGTTTACGGATTATCCTGTGCTAAACGTGCTATTTAATGTCAAGGTGTGAATGTTAAAACACCTGCCCAGGTCTTTAAAATTTCCAAACAACTTACATACTTATTTAGCTGCTTGAAATTTAAATTTTAACGTCTTTCTTCTTACCCTGGCCACTAATTCTGAGGCAAGTTATGCATGAAGAATTGATATAATATTGTGTCTGGCTATTCATGCAATCTTTTTATCCAATGCATGGTTATATTTTGTGAGCGTGAGTCAAAAAATTAATTGAAGGAAAGTAAAGTGCCTAATAATTTAATCATGGCCCTTTTCTAACCCTTATTTTAGCGCATGTATCTTAAAATAGCATGTATCTTATTTTGATTGTTCTAGCACCGCATTCCTAAAGTAAGTTCAAAATGATCCGTTTATTTTTTGCTTGTCCACTGTTTTCTATGCCAAAATATTAAAGCGCAATAACTAACCATTAAATAATTATGAGAAAATTTGCTTTGATAACAAATTAAGTGATATTTTTTGGGAACGATTTCATAACTTCGGTTTGCAGATTTAAGTTCGTTAAATCTTATAAATTTAAAGCTTATAACTGCACTTAGACTTTTTCTCTGCTCTCTTATTTGACAGTTCTTATTTATGTCTCCTTATTTAGTGCGTACCATTTGAAGTATCGTGCATATTGACGCACACACGGACTACTGGTTAAAAGCTGTGGCGCTAACTTTATACCTGAAGTTTTACTAATGATGGAATAAACAGAATTAGCTAAAATTGGCTTACAAACAAAATAAAACATTTCATATATTAAACGTTATGACTTCAGATCAAACAGTTGTCTTGCCTTTGATTTGGTCTTACCGCGTTTTTAAGATCCTACATACTGACCTATCTGTGCATTTTACCTTGGCAAAGTGGGCTAGAAAATCAAAGCTGAGATCCACTATCTCTTGGTGTTATTCCTATTTCATTATCCTATCTTTTAGTTGTTTTTTTTATCAATTTGTTATGTTTTTTTGATATTTATAAACCAGTCCTTTGTTATTGGCATGTCACTTAGCGTAATATGCTTGTGATTCTCACGATGGTTGCTTTTACAATATTGTTTTAGTACGTTTTTCCCAACCAATAAAATTTTAGTGCTAATCTATATAACTATGACCTATGCCTTCGGTTTATTGTTTGTGGAGTAATATTCTCGCTAACTTATTAGTCTGGATCTTGCAGGCTCGAGGCCTTAATATTGCCATTGAAATTTTTAGATCCATAGAAATGAACACAATAGCAGCTTTTTCAATCTCCAAAACATCTGGGGCATTCAATATGATTCCAGTACTCAAAAAATGTACGTTTTGGGCCCATATAAGTAATCATCGTATTTGCAGGTGCTTTTTACTATGCTCTCAAGCAAGGGGTATTGAGGACTTCACCTGTGTACCGTGTTTATATCTCCACTTCCTTCTGTCAGTACGCGCCTCCAGAGTGTAGACGAACAGGTAATGGGAACTTTCGTAAGCTTCTATCTGTTGTATGACATTTTGAAGTTTGTAGATATTTGACGCCGAAAAATCGATAAGGCCTTGCCTAATTATATAGGCCAAAGGAGATGATGTGGCTTTAAAATCCGAGTTGCGTCAGTAAACAGTTTATCCATAAAACACTGGTCAATCCCATCTGCTGTCACACTCATCACTTCAGATCAGTGCATTTTTGCGACAACGCTCCAAAGTTTTCTGGCACTAGTCTGATTTTAGTAAGGCGTTATCATAAAAGTACTGAATTTTTTTTACACTCAAATTGCCATCCCCGTCTTTCATTTACATTGAGTGTAATTTGGTAGTGTGAAACAATATGTGCGGCATACTTCTACGAATTTACCAAGCATTCCTGTTGTCAAATTGTGCATTCGGGCTTATTCAAAGTTTTTCTGGTGAGAAGGAAGGGGTTTTTCAGTCGTAGCAGCAGTAGTAGTAGTACTGATCGGGGTTCAACTTGCCGTAATATTATTTACACTGTGTTTTAAGGTGGCAAAAGTCCAGGATCTGGCTCAAATGGAGGTTCGTCTAACGATACTCCACCTTCACAAAGCGAGTCCTTTTCAGCATCTAGCAACGGCGGCAATGAAACAGGAGGTTATTTTGGGGGAAGTGATGGCGGCTCATCCATTACGTGTGGCAAGTGTGGTGCTCCTCTACGCACTATAGAGCCTTCTACATCTCGTACGTGCTTTGCTCCCTTAATTCCTCTCGTTATAAGTTGCATCTCGGTTGATAATCTCTTCATCATCGATTTATTTGATCAACAAGCCCCCGTTTTTTCTTACCGTAGAAATTATGAATGTAATAATTAGCAGATTTTGTTTTTGTTGAATAAGATGCAACTAGACTTCTGTCAGTAATGGATTTGATGGTCTCTGTCTTCATTTCAAGACTCCACTTCCATTTATATTAACAGATATCTCCCGTTTTATGAAGTGTGACTCTTGTCAACAACTGTATACCTTCATTGACAAAACTGCTCTCAAGTCGTTTATGAAAGCAGACAACACCAGACCTCCACCTCCTCCACCAAAACAGGTAACTTTTATCATATTTTGAAGCTTCTGAATCAACTCCTGACTTATTACTTGATATCAGGTCTTATCCAACGAATCCACTTTTCGTACGTTGTGTTGTTCTGGAACTTTTGTGTTCAACTTCACTACCGTCTCCTTTTGACCCCACAATAAGAAGGCTCGGCGTGTTGCCCAACAGCACTGCGTTGAAGTGAGGGTTTTAGGATTTGAAAATGGGTACACTCGATACCCTTACTGCTTTTTTGCGCTCAGCTTTCATGTTGAAACCGTCACTGATATTTTTCACTTTAGCCAACGAACAAGCTCACAGCTGGAATCCTTTTTGATAGCTGTTCTAGAGTTAATTCACTAAAACGGAAAATTTGTTAGTGAATTTGCTGTATGCAATTATCGTTGTCTTTCTTTAGAGATCCTAACCTTTCTCCACTTCTCGAAATTACCCATTCATACTTTGCTTTACGACATTCTGAAAGGGCCACATTCTGCTCTATTCAAAGTTCCATATTATATATAGACAATCCTATAGTTTTCATTTTAATTCCGGGCTAATACTATGCAAGGGCTGTGTAATTAGCGCTCGTTCTAATTAAAGTCACTTCCGCGACTGTCTGTGAGATTCTAATTTAATAATAACTACGCTAATACTACTAATACATGACTTTTACCTCACGACTATATTCATGGCGTTTACTTAATTACTCATCAATCGTCTTGCTGCTGTCCGTTGTTAATGGATTGAGTTGCCTTGTAGCAAAAAGCATCGGTTAAGCTGAGCATTTTAAAACCAGTAATTCATTGTCATTTCATAATATTGAGGCTTCCAAACTGTACTAGCACTTTGCATCGTTCTTGTAGATTAACTATTGAATTCATTTGGATTATTTACTTATAACCAAAACACCGTTAACCAGATTGATTATTTGAACACACATCCGCTCCATTATGGTGTTTTCCAATAAGTTAACTAACATGAATTCCTTTGTATATTAAATTGTTTTAATGAACAAAATGTTCTCAAGTACTCTGGTTTGAATTAAGTTTTACAAATATGTTCGAGTGGAAAATGGACTTAAATGAATATATCAGTACGGTAGGTTCTTATTAACCTCATTTCAGATCCACAAATACCTCAATCGTCATGTAGTGGGTCAAGAGCATGCGAAGAGGGTTCTCTCGGTGCAAGTTTACTCGCATTACAATCGCATTCATCATAATCTCCAGCACTCCAACAGCGACCCATGCGACTCTCTGGCTTCCGATCAGCCAGCAGACTTGAGCTCGAGCCCCTCCGTCATGGGCTCGGCCTTTGTTCCGCGGACCACGTCACCACCATCCGGCAGTCCCAATTCAAGCCCCGCATTTAATGTCATCCCCTCAGGCAGAGGTGTAGGTCATGTGTCTGGCTCAAAGATCGATGCTACCGGCCCCTCTGTTGCCGGTGAGGAAAACCGCTTAGTCTATCTCTCTTTTGGTGTTTTCCTCTGAGGTAGATAACGGTTTTGTTCTGATTTGCAACACATTCGTTGGATTTAGTGTTTTAATTGTTATTCTCCTAAAAAACTATTCACCGTGACTCGACTACTTTCCCGAGTGCTGGTTTACCTAAATACACGACCGGTGAAAATTCATACAAGGTGAATTGGTTGTACTTCAATTCTACCGTACCAAATCGAGTAAAAGTGCTCATTGCGTATCGGGCCAGCCAGGCAGCCAGCTTATCAAGTCAAGTTATTTGGCACATAAGTGCATTCGCTAGAGGTCAAATCAGTGTCAGGCCAAATACCTGATTAGGCCAGATTTAGTTTAAAGGTCCTGTATTTTAGTAAAACAAGCGAGTGCTCTCCTTTTTTTTACATTATTGGGTCAGTTATCACTGGAAAGAGCGCTTACAATGTACTAGTTGCACTAACGAGCCAACCGATCTGAAATACGGTTAAGTCTTTTTACCAGAATTGATTAAACCAAGCAGAAGTTGTGGATATTGGTAAGCGAAACAAAATCACATTGCGTAAATTTGTGTCTTTGATGCGTTTTACCATTACCAATGTCATTTCCTTTTTCTGATACATTGGGACAATATGTACTGGAAACAATTGGAAAAATTTTCAATGCGAATTTAATCGAAACATCAGCTATTATTAAATCAAACAAATCTAATCGTTCTTTTTTGTTATCGACTTTTAGTCGAAACCCGTGTGTCATTTGTCAGATTTCCTCTCGCGAGTTAGTTACTATGATCGAGTCAGTAGGTAGTGCTGTGAACCTTCGTTGGGAAAGTGGTAATTTCTTGTGCCTTCTTTTTACCCCGTTTCGGCGTCTCACCACTGCATCGTGTTACTTCTCACTTTACTCGCTGTGGTCGGTACAGAGCTCTTTCACTTGCTGTCTGGTAGCAGCAATCAGCCAGGCTCTCCCACTAACGCTCGTCCCGTTGAAGCAAGCGATTCGACAAATCAGCGTGCAGGGCCAACTACTGGCTCACGTCTTATTTACGGCTCTCAGGAATGCGAACCCGTCAAGCTAGAAAAAAGCAATATCATCCTTCTTGGACCCACCGGATCTGGTGAGTTTATTATTCTACGCATGTGCTCTTTTTACTTTATCCGACTTCAAGCATCATTTATACACTCTGGTTTCTACATGAGCCCTCAACTAATATCATTTCTAAACATCGTTACAGTCGCTTTTTAATTCAATTGTTGACATTTTTGCGGACACCCAGTTTGGCTTGGGTTCTCGCGAACATTTTCCTTTCACTGTCATTTGTCCTGTTTGCAATCTTCGGGCTTTGAGTTGGCGCTATTGGCTTCTAATGAATGCGGCTGTGATGTGGTTAGTCCGTCTTTCAGTTTGCATGCTTCGTCCAGCCCTTACTGCAGGTACTTATTTTTTAGCAGTAGAAACAGTTGCCCTGTCAGGTAATGTTTGTGTCTCGATACACAACAATACACAGACTTCTGTGTCGTGATGTGTTTCCCAATGTCAGCTTTGCTAAACACCTTCTTTCTTGCATTGGATTTTTACACAACTATTTTCTTAAGAGAAATTATGGCTAAATAGTATAAGTGTTAGCGATTATTTTTTTTCAATACACCCTTCTTTGGAGTCGCAGTCCATGTTTGGTTATTTCGTCAACTCCCACAAAAAAATGTTAGTCTAATGGTTACATGCATTGCCACATTAACAAGGCGTGACTGTAAAGTGGTTCGTTGTATTTGCTGCGTCAAAACGTGAGTAAGTTGTATAAGAACATGATGAACTCTTTGGCGAGTCTGATTGCTGATGTCGGCCGTGACCTTTGAAGGCCACGTACTGGGACGGAGATTTGTTGCAGCGTCTTTATGCCTAAGAATTATTGCTTTATTACCAATAGCCGAACTGTTTAATTATCTGCGAAAAGCTACCTCACGTGTAAACTTTCTTTGACGTCTCGGAAAACATACACGGCACACATCGCCATCATCTCTTTTATTTGCACATAGAGCGAAATTTGTTCTGGGCTACCACTCTTCTTTAAATGCAGCTATTAAGATTGGTGTTATTGCGCACAAGTCCAGTGAAAGCACATCAAGAAGACTTATCCTGAACCCTTTGGTGATGAATTTTGTACTTCGTACTCATCTGTCCACCGATGCCTGTCCGATGTAATCTGTCTGTGGATCAGATGAACGTAACCTATGATAAGTTACGCGTAGTTATATTATGGTAGGTCCTTGGCTTCACATCAGCCACTTGTTGTTTGTCCAATTTGAAGTTGGGCCTGCGACGCCATCCTTTTGCGCGCTGCGCCTTCTGAGCAATACTAAAAATTGTTACTCACTTCTCAGTCGGTGATTGGTTCGTTCCTTGGCCAAAAATGGCTTCATGCAAATCCATCTACTTCCTCTTCCTTGGTGTGTGCATGCTTTAATGTCTTTGTTTACTAGAAAACATTAACCTGAGAGAGAGGGCAAAGTCAACTCTCATCGTGCGTTTACCGTGACCTTGTGTTTTTTTTTCATTTTTCTACAGCTGCTTCCTGCACACAATAATAGAAAAGTTGTTGTCGGCTGAAAACTTCTCCCACAAACTGCTTCTAACCTAAGGCAAACGAAAATAGTCCTGTCTTAAATTTATCTAGTGATTGTTATTTGGATACGAATTGTGCGATCTGTTTGTCCAATCGCTTTCGATGGGATATTGAAGTCGCTTCGTCACATTGGGCCTTCTTGCTACCACAAAGACTAGACCCACGGCCGATTTTGGGAAGCCTTTAGTGTGACTCGAGGTGCTTGCGCAAGCAGTGATTATGAAGGCGTAGGGGCGAATTTCGATGCTAAGGCTGCGTCCAACGTCAAACAGTGCCCACGGCTGACCACTAGCACTGGCCTTGTCCTTTCTTCTATCGTGACAACACCAGGCAACAAGTTTACATGAAGGCCTGAAAAAGTCTCGTGTATTCCCCGTGTAATCCAGCTCTTTCATCCCTATGCTGTATTGCTTGGAGATTTCGAAAGGTTTCTTAATCGTGTCTGTAACGAAAATAGCAAAAGGTGGCTACAACATAAAAACCAGTTAAAAGGTTGTTTTTATATGTTACAGACCGTCGTTCTTCACCCCAAAACAGAAATTAAGAGCCGTTTTACTGCTTTTTGAAATTGGCTCATGCGGAATCATTAAGGGATGATTCCACGTGGTTATTTTGAAGTTACCTGAAGTGAATAGACCTGAAGTGAGCCTGACGCTTCTGGCTGTGAGTGGTGCTCCTGCACCCGCCCTTTCCATACGCCCTTTCCATGCCGTCTTTTGGATTAGGTTATGCTAATACGTGATGTATTTTGACGCAACTATCTTCCTAACCTGTAGTCTGTGCATTCATTACTAGGTAAGACACTTTTGGCGCAGACCTTGGCGCATTGCCTGGACGTGCCCTTCGCAATATGCGATTGCACTACTCTGACGCAGGCCGGTTATGTAGGTGAAGACATTGAATCGGTTATCGCTAAACTACTGCAGAATGCTAACTTCAATGTGGATCGAGCTCAACAGGGCATCGTATTCCTTGATGAGGTTGACAAAATTTCTAGCCGTGCTGGTGTACTCCACTCGATTCGAGATGTGGGTGGTGAAGGGGTTCAACAGGTGAGAAATTTATTGTGTGCAAGTCTGTTTTAATTTTCACGTAATTCACGCAACTCTGAATGCATTAGTGCAAAAAACAATTCACCCTAATCTTGACAATTTTTTTATCCGACTGAAGGGTATGTTAAAAATGCTAGAGGGCTCTGTGGTAAATGTACCTGACGGAAAAGGTTCGCGGAAGCTTCGTGGTGAAACGGTGCAGGTGGACACCACTAATATCCTCTTCATCGCCTCCGGTGCCTTCACTGGGCTCGACAAACTAGTCGCGCGACGTAAGCGCAAGCAGGTACGTTTGGGATTTTGGCCTTCTTACGCCCAAAACTTCTATTGGGTCATCGCCCATGGTTGTATCCGTAATCCTATTTTAAAATTTTATCTGTTTGATCATAACTGGCCGAAGTTATTTTAGGTCAAAGTTAAATTGAGATGTCGCCACTAATTTGAATGGCTCTGTAACCTCTCTTTAGAATAGAAAGATGCCATAGCCTCAGCAGTTGGCGGCTTTTGTGGGTGAATTTAGAAAATACCATGAGACTTTTCGATGATCACTAGGCATAGAAGTGACCCTAATATCGCTCAGGCGTGGCTTCGTTAAAAGGCCATTTTGCCAGACCAATGGGAATGGGTTAAATAATGGTATTAACCTGAAATTGAGTTGGACATTGCCAGCGTCCACGGACCTTCAGCTTTCCTTAGAGTTACACCAGTTAATGGCTACATCGACGCAGTGGTAACGGCGTAAGCGCCAGAGTGCCTTATTAACGCCGACGACGATGGGCGTGGATGCTTGAATTTTTGATTACGAATGCCCGTTCTGCTGCGCATGTACCATTCTGTTTTCAACACTGGCATTTTTGGTGTCGATAGTTATGTTGACTCTTTACTAAGGCCTCCTTGATTTTAAATAACACTTTTGTAAGTGGTTAGTGCTTTTACACCAGCATTATGTAGGCGGCGACCGGTTTTTGACATGGACAGCGTATCGGTGATCATGGATTAGACGATTTCAACAAATCACACTAAGTGATCTGAGTCTATCTGAAACCAATGCTATCCATCATTTTGCATCTTCATGCTGCTTTTGATCCAGTATTACTACCTCGAGGGACTCGACGTAGTATCGGGCCATCAGTATTTGACGCCCAGCTACGACGATAGCCAAATAGTGCGCAAATATACTCTAGCACTTTGTACATACCCAAAGGGAATTTGCGTTTAACGAGATACCTTAAGGAGGCTAGGGTGACGCCGACTGCGGCAACAATAACTGCTCGCTTTAATCCTAAACAAAGTAGAAATGATTTTTTTACTCACGTATAATTGAATATGGGCTTATGAGTCTTTGTAAATCCTCTCCACCCAATTCAAGAAGGTCGTTTGGGCATTATAAGCATGTGCCTGTTTTTTTTTCACGAAATAGGGGAAAATCTAAGGCGGGAACAAGTAGGCACAGCTTAGCTACGTCGTGGCGTTGGGAATACATCGTCAGAGGTGGTTTTGGCATCGTTAGCTGTTGTAATCCTCAACTGGACACTTCAATTGTTTCGTTTGCTGCTTTTACCAGCCATCGATGGTTTAGTACCTGCACATACCCTAATTCCAAGCGTATGATTGAGGGTTAATAATTCATTCGAATCTCGTTGATTGAGGCCCTGTAGACATGTTCGATGGGCTATTCAGTGGACTGGTTGTTGCCCAAACCAATTTTGCCACATCTGCTGTGACCTTCTAGGGTCGAATCACTTGGTTATCTCAAAGTGGCCACTCCTTTTGACGTGAATAACAACGCTGAGGAAATTCAAATGCCTTTGCCTACCTGCTCGTTAGCCAGAAGGCGCCACCTCAGTGACTGCCCATGCCAGAGTAATCCAATGTTGTGTGTCAAGTCGAGCTTGTTGCTCCCCGGATACACCAACGAATACGGGTATCTGTGTGTCGGTCCACAATAAGGATTTTAGAAGTGAATTCAACTTTTTATTGTCATAGATTGTGGATGCCTGAGGTCTAGAAGCTAAAAAATGTTGCTTAGTCTTTTTTCCAGTAATCGTTGATTTGTATTCAATTGACTAGTCTTTACAAGCTTTTAACTATTTGGTTGTATTATCAATCTGAGCCGAAATCATTTTTTCAATGCACTTTTAGGTAGCACTCTTGGAATATGTTTATAGTAGTTATTAGGTCTTACGACCTGTTGCGGGAGAAATCCTGACGTTGAACAACGGCTAGCCTAAATTTCTTGAATGGGCTATCAGTAACTGTCGATTAGTTTATGCTGATACTTCAGCGCATTGGCTTTGGTGACTCAGAGGAACCACACAGCCAGACCCCAACCTTCTCCGATGCCGGTGCTGCGTCATCTTCGTACGATCGCGGTGGTGGTGGGGGTGATGAGGAGCTCCTTGAGGCGGACCGTCTTCTCGCCCAGGTGGAGGCCTGCGACCTCATCGAGTTCGGCATTATCCCTGAGTTCGTCGGCCGCTTTCCCATCATCACCGCTTTTCACTCCCTCAATGAGCACATGCTAACTCGCATCCTCACCGAGCCGCGCAATGCCCTGCTTTCGCAGTACAAACTTCTCTTTCACATTGATAAGGTATGCAGGTCTCTCTGTGTGCACTGTACCGCGAATTGCACAATGGCGTGGGTTCACTGTGGGTTCTCATCTCAAAGCCTCTGAGTTCCCACACAGGAATCCGCGCCACATGATTCGAGCTGCAGGTGCAAATGCCGCTGTGGTACCAGGGCTGCTTACTAAATAATTTCTCCTTTTCTTTGTGTTATTGTGGGCTTACCGAAAAATTTCGCCTTTACATTCGAACTACTAACACGCTTTGTTCCTCTCTCCAGTGTACTTTAACTGTGACCCAAGGTGCCTTGAGGGCTGTTGCTCGTCAAGCAATGCTGACAAAAACGGGAGCCCGTGGTCTGCGTGCCATCATGGTGAGTGCCATTTACTCCGCCAAGCGTCCCACGTATTCTTCCCTCAAATAGTCCCCGACTTTAAAAGTACTCGAAACCCCTTATTTGTGATTGCTTAGTGGCATACAAGTTGTGAGTTGTTTTCCTACACCTTCACAAACAGTTGTATTTTTGCCTTCAGGAAAAGGTGCTTTTGCAGCCGCGTTACGACGTCCCTGGTTCTGGAATCTCTGAAGTGATCATTGACGAGAAGGTGGTATCGGGGTTAGCAGAGCCGAAGTATGTGTTTGCCGATGAAAAGAGTGGTTGTAGTGATGTGATGACAGAGACCGTTTCGGCGGAGGCAATGTCGTCCACCACAACGAAGTCTACCTCAGCGTCCCTATCGGCTTGATCTGTGAATACACTGCTAGTGCAAATTTCACTGCTTTTCTGTTACCATTTTGCCCTCTTGGCTCCCTGTCCAGTTACCCGTTTGATTTCCATGCTAATATGTAACCAAGCTTTCCCGTCTCACTAACCCCCACAATTTGTACCTCTCTCTCTCTTTCCAACTGCGGGTTGCAGGTGGTTTTTAATACTGAATAAATCCTGTCCAAGTCTCAGTGTTTTCCAACGTCAGAGTGCGTACTGCCCAATTCGGATACCTCATTAGTCTGTCAAGGGACCGTCATGCTCACTTTTGTTGTTTGCTTGTCTTCGTTTCTAAACAGAAAGCTCCTTTGCTGCCCTAGTTTGCCACTGATTAGTTTAAAGCCTTTATTTGCAATCAACAAATATGGAGTCTTCTAGCCGTTTTCTGCGTAAAAAATTGAGTAAGAATTACCGACAAATGACTTGTCTTCTCAAAGTAGTGTTGCGCACTGCAACTCGTACCACGTCTCATGCCTCATTATCGTTTGGAGAACAAGATTCGGCTTGATGAGGTGGCGACGTGGTAGGAATGGTTGAAACGCTCAATTCAGTGTTCTTTATGGCGGCTGACTCATAAGGTGACGGCGTTGATGCAAGACTGTGGAGGCCATAGCACCACCATTGTGGTGTGCAAAATGTGAAACCAGTCTCGATTTTAGCACACATTCAAACGACCTCATGAATCTCCACAAGTCTGATTGGATAGGCGCTGGGCACATAATTTTGTCGTTACGAAGTTTTGTTAAGAACTGGCCCTTGTAGGTTTTGAGGACCGCTGCAAAAGGCAAATACGGTTAAGTGCTTGAAGATCGGCTGGAAGCGTAGGTGATTTATCCACGTTATTCTTGATGCCGTTTTGGCCTAGTGGATTTTTTTATTTTTGGAATCGGAGGAACAACCCCGTGGGAGGTTCCAAGATTGAACCTCAGCAATAGCTCGCCTGGGTTTTTTTCGTTTTTCACCAATATTTTATGCAACTTATTGCACCACGCGTACCGTTGCCCGCTGTGTTAGGTGGCGTCATGATTGACTTGTTTTTCATGTTTCGAGTTTTTTTGGGTTTTACAAAAACGATATATTTTTTCACGCTTAGTGCTGATGAACAATGTTCTTCTCAATTTATCAGCAGTTTTGTAAAGTAGAGATCCATTGTTAATGTAGTCTTTTTTTGTCTCAATGTATGACAGATTCTGTGTTAGGCATGTCTCACCATGGAAAAAATGCCCCCTTCGAACGTAAAGAGCGGTAGTCCGACTGAGAAACAGCCGGACAATGAGGCAGGTGGGGGTGTACCTTCCATCATAAAGCCTTGGCTTTTAGTGACGTCTAGTGCTAGCAACCTGCAAAACGACACTATCCTGACTAGCATCACCTTAGGGAGTTTCTACAGCAAAGCAATGTTCAAAGCCATGCCAATTTCATAGATAAATTATAAGGAAAAAATTGGACACCTGGAACTCGGGAAAACTTACAATGTAGGTGACTACGTGCTGAAATTTCTTTACTGAAAGCTAAAGGAAAACCTGCATCATTTCTCTTTGCATCTTGCTTAGGTGCATTGGGCGCCACTGCACCATAAGGCATAACTTTAGAAACCGTTCCGATAATATCGCTGTTAAATTTGGTACTTTTTGGATATGCACTAAATTTGAAATCACATTTCCTTATTTGTGAATCTAAAGTAATGTGCTCTTTAATTTAGGCATTTGTTGTACTCGGTTCATTACTCGTATCCCAGCAAAGCTTTAAAGGGTTTAATTTCTACTCTGAAACTTCTTCATAATTTCCATTTAGGTTTTACGGTTTTTTATTCGATTTCTCTCACAAATTAGAAACTGGTAAATTATTTGTAAATAAGTTCGAATAGCACGCAATTTTTTTAACGACAGATCGCGTGCGGGAGCAAACTGATCATGAATTTTTTGGTTTAGATATAAAAACAGCACCATCGCTGGGTACCACGAATATTTAACTTAAGGAATTTTTAAGTGGTGCATTAAAGGGATATGTTAGGCTTCGATTAGTGTACACAATTGCACAGTAATTTCAGTATTAGTTAAGTCACGCAGTTGATCATGCCTGTATCTCAGCAAGTAATTCGAACTATTTTCTGAAAGTAAAGCGCCTGATGATTTCGACGTTAATGGACAACCTAATATGATGCCTCACTCCCTGATTTTCGGCTTTACCACTTTCGCATTTCCTATGGTTGCCTCTCATCTAACATTTGTCTAAAAATAATTTGATGTATTTTAAGAGCACATTACATCCGCTTACCATAATTGACATCTAGAAACGTTTCGTTTATATACTAATTCTAATTGATGATTCACGTGCACCTTTTTTGAAGTCCGTTTGTTTTTCGCTGAAGCAACCACATTAATTATTGTCAGACACCTCCTCTAGGGCTAAGCGTTTCTGCTTAAGAGCGTTCGCATCGCTATTACTAAATTTGCCTTGTTTAAACAATTTCAGCAAAAGTTTTTTTTAAAATTCAGTGGCTCCACATCTGTTTCAGACACAATACACAAATACATTTTGGACTTATTCAGTTTTGCAGATTCGGCATCTGTAGCCAAAATAATCACGTAAATTAGTTAAACGCAATTCGAATATTACATTATTTTAATGCTCTTTTTTTGAAAAAAACCATCGGAAAGATTTACCGAATCGTGTAAGGGGCAGTTGGAACACTAACTCCTGTTGCACTTGAAATTAGAAGCATGTACGTAGGTGGCTTCTATTTCAAAATTTATCCAAAATGTTTAAAATCAGTCGAACACAATTTGAGGCTCACTCATTAAATTATGAACCAATGTGCAACGAGTACGTTTTCAAATACCGCTATTGTTCAGCAATTCAAAAGACAACTTCCTTAATAAGCCTACGAGTAATCAGTTGAAGAGGCTACTGATCACAAGGCTGGGGGTAACGTGGAGGTCATTATGGGACAACCTTTTATTTACATCTGATACATCGCAGCAAAGGATGATGCTAGTGTACGCATTTTAAAGCCTCCAGGGTCACATTTGCATTAGTCTGCAAAACACCCTCGATGTGTTAACGTTTGGGTGTAATGCACGAAGTAATGGTGTTTACGGTTTAAAAGCTTTTAATATGACATCAGAAATAACAGATTATGTTTATTTGTTATAAGCGTAATTTCGCAACATGCAATTTCGTTTATGTTTAGTACAAATCACAAACTCCACTTTACTGTATCCGTTTAGGTAAACATTGATGTTCCTATTAATAATGTTCTAAAATAATCTTGACAGTGTGCACATGACCTTTTAAAATTATTTCTTAGGCCTTATAGTAAACGAATATTTTGCTAATTTGCAGCTTCAAAATCGTTGGCAGTCCATTTGTATTATATACACGCAAAATAATGGGAGCCTTTATTATTGCATTATTTTCCCCATTTTTGGCAACCATTCGAACCCTTAAGGCGATTAATTACGATCTGTGCAAATTACGCGCAATTCATCACTCGGAATCATCCTAACGATTGGTGAATCCACTTTGTGATGGCACTTTTCAGTAAATCTTTAAAAAAGTTTAAAACCACAACAATGGGGCAACTCTACACCGTAATGTAGAGGCAAAGTTTTTGTCGAACTAAGCCCCATAATCTTAATTAACTGAACTGGCTGTTATTAAGCACATGCAAAAATAAAGACGTTCTTTGAACAACATACTTGCGTTCAAATCGCGGCTATTGTTATAACTAATATCATATGACACATGCATTTCGTCACTTACAATCTCAAAAATGTCAACGAATAGTACCGGAAGAATGCTTGGGTGCAACCAGTTATACTCGTTGTCTTCTATTCAGACATACAGATAGTTGGGACTGTGGGACGTAATTGAAACGCAAACTAGAGGGACGAACTACACACGTCCCGCTCAGAGAAAGCATGACCGAGACATATACTCAAGCGTTTACTGAGTCTCAGGTATCGATTTTCTAGGACGCTGGTTCTGTCACTGTAGATCGCAGATCTCAAGCAAAAACTCGCTTTGATCGGGTTATTTATCGTCCCTTTTGATGTGATCATTTTCGTACTACGACGTGTTATCCAGCTTCAAATTGACTAGTTGACTGTTACTAATAGTGTGAAAAATAGATATAAACTACATTTTAGCGAAACTAGTCCTTTGAAAAGGGATGAGCTATTCACTGATTCTGCCACCATCGTCCAGCTACCTTTTTTCTCCTACGTTGATCGTTTTAAACCTCAATGTGTTCAATTGAACCTCTACATTTCGTTAATTACCTCTCGATCTAGTTAAGCACTCATGTTTATTTGTTTACCTAATGGTTACCTGAAACTCACTGAATTGCATTTATGTGCATTCCAGATCAATGGCAATTCATTACACCTTATCCCATATTGCCCGGGATATCACCGTGTTCTGTTCTGGCAACACAATGAACTAAATTCTTATACTGTCACTCAATGAGTCTTATTCCCATGTTCTCTTTGTTAATACAGTAGAACATGCGATCTGAGTTGGATCATTTTCCCTGTCTTATTCCTAGGTACCTATAGTAGTAAATAATAACAGGAGTTATGGAGGAGCTAGCTTCTTATTCATCTACCCAAGACTGTGATAGAACTGTCAACAACTTAATTATGTCAATATGCATTCTTTGACGTAGCAATAAACACTGAAATTTGCATTAACACTATTATTTACTCCCACCTGTTCCCCTAACCTTATAATGTTACCTCCTACGTAATTGATTTTTATATCTGTAAAGCTTGTTAATACCTTGCTTTTACAACATAATTTCTTTTTATGTTGTAGGAGGAGAGGATAAGAAAGTAATTCTTATAAGACAATCGGTGAAAACTGGGGGGGCAAAAGTTGAGGCCGTACGACGGCGAATTGGTGTATTTGATGAGTCGGCTGTGGTAATGGCGCCGTGAATTCTCGTTGCTGGTGTTCTGCTGAAGAGGTTTGAGAGCCAACTTCTCGCTCTTGAGACAGGAAGAACACCGACGAGGAGGGCGACATGGAAAGTGGTCGATGGAGGTTTCCCGTGGATCGGTTGCATCGCCGTGCAGCCGGACCTTTTCGTGTAGTGTTTTTTTGTTGCGTTTCCGGCTCTGTTGTTGCGCCGTTGACGATTCGACGAGACCACCGAAGTGGATTGAAGAGAGAGCTGAAATGGTGGCTTGAATTGAGGCTTTGAGTGCTAGAAATCGTAACTGACAGACCACTAGGACAAAGTTCCCCGATGCTCGAAGGGCGGCCAACATCACTTCTTCCTAAAAAAAATTAGGGTTCAGTGTGTCCAAGCGAAGTAGTAAAGAGCCTGTGAGCTTATGAAACTGAACGAATGATCCGGATTCTCAGGCTACTCATCACAAACAAAAGATAACCGCATCTTGCAAAAGGCTTCTAAGGCACCACACAAGTCCCAGTTATTATTATAGAATACTTTGAACCAAATTTCTCTTTTCGTGCCAGCACAATTGGGTGTAGTCTTTGGCTTATTACATGACAGTCTTAAAGTGATGAACAAAATTAAGCACTCTTCCATAAAAACTGAAAAATGAGGAATGCAGAAGTGTAGTGTTTGACGTTAATATATAGAGGGATATCCTAAAGGTAGGCATATGTGACCCAAACTCGTAAAATTCCTGTAAAAATAAAATGTAAATATTAGCTACCTGGAATTTTTTAATACGACATAGTCAAGTTGGATTATGGATTAGTTCTGCAAGTATACCTACTATGCTAAACCTCGTCAAGCATTTCTTTGTATTCTGAAATACAGATAGAGGACCAAATTAAAATTAAGGTGGTGATAGAATTACGTTAATTAAAATGGCATTTTTGATACTGAAATGGTGTCTGTAACCATGTTATTGCTCACTCCTCATTTTGGTTAAATTTTATGCAACCAATAGGCTTTTGGAATTTTAAAGTAAGCCATTAAAAGCCGGACCTTTCGCAGTCTTCAAGCGAAGTGGTCAATACTATTCTTCACGCCTCGGCTAAGAACAATCAAATATGCCTATCTGAACTTCTACAGCTCTGTAAGCCTTTGACAATATGACTTTCTCGACTGTGACAAGTATTTGAAAAGTAAAATATAGGCATGATTAAAAATCCATGAATTACAAAAGTATGCCAAAAATACTTAGAGGAACTAGCGGAGCAATGTAACGTTGCATTTTTTATTGGAGTCGGATTTTGAAGCTGGAGAGGTTAAAAAATTAGAATGTTTTCATCATATTAGTAAATTTTGGAGCATATACACATTGACTAGACAAAGGGGCACGTACTATACACCCTTACAACTTAATCGTCCTTAATCCATCAGTTATTCCAGCAATTAGTATAGCAGTCCTAAGATAGATTATTGAGGCCCGCTCATGGGACTGCATAGGACAGTGACCACTGTGGATTCTAATGAGGATTTTACATTGCAAAGCTTAAAAAACCACATCGTAGGAAATTTATTCACCATCCCTCTCCAACTAAAAATAAGTCAAATGGACGCAAGATATTAGTTCATAGTGCCAATGGTAAATTTTTCTCTACCTCTGCTTGGGTTGAAATGAAACCTGAAACTGGGATTTTTGTTAGAGGAAACACAATCTACCGGATTTGCAAAACATGATGACAGCATGAGTGACGGACTGAGTGATGACATGTAAACTGTTTAGAGGTCAAGAACGTGTCTTGGTGTCTGCCGCACAAACCATTATTGCACTGTGCAGTGCGACTGTCCAACCGAAATTCTGTCGATTTGTTGCAATCTGACATCAAAACTCACGGTCTATTTCTTTTGGCTGTTCAGAACAAAACTGCGCGGAAACACCACGGTGCTGATTAACAATCGCGTCAATAAATGCCATAACATCAGGCGTGAATGCTAAGTGGAATGTTTCCTGCAGCACCACTATACGTGCATTTTGTAGTAAAGCCTGGGATTATGGAAATCGCCAATATTTCGAATCGAAATCAACACCCACACTTGATTGATTCCAGTTATCCGTTTGGGTTTTACCACCAAACTAGTAAAAATTAATTAAATTCGGGTTTCATTAGAAATATATTGACATTAAATGATGTTGGAAAATGCGTGGATTTTCAGGGAACTGAAAGTGAAATGGTCAGTTGTTTGGTGTGGCTTTACATCAAAATTGCATGATAACGGACGAACCATCATTTATTGGAAAATGTAACGTAATGCAACTTAATTTGGCATCCTTATTTAATTTATTTCACGCTCATCAGTGTTACCGTCTCAATGAACTGAATATAAATATGGTGCTTGTGAACGGATATGCCGAGAGGACTGGATGTCCTTTTAGTTTGAATAACTCCAAGTTAAAACAAGTGGCACAACAGCATACTTCCAAGTTGTTGACGGAGAGCTTACCTGAAACGTATCCGAGATCGCCCACACTCGCACCCAGCCCTCCAGATGGGCCGAGCGACGCCCGGCTGCAGCCCAGGCCGCCCTGTCGGTGGGCGACGCGCGAAACGGAGCATGCCCGATCCACTGCCCGGCGGTCCGAGCGCTGGTGTGTGATCCCACGTTGACCCACTAGCGAGTGCGGATGCCTGACCTCATCGACGACTGTTGCAGAGTTGCCTCCTCCTGGAATTCGTGCTTTGTCTGCATCCATGCGGTCAGTGGAGCTCTGGTGATTCATCTCACAGGCAGCCAGGCGCTGGCGATAGTTGTGCAGAAGCCGAGGGCCCATCTACAAGCAAAAGGTAATGCAAACGCCATTGCTAATTGAGCATGACTAAGCCATAGGTCAGTGATAACCATAACTCGCATGCTCTACTGGCCAAGAAACCTATGACAGACTATTGCCTTTTCGATCCTTTCACCTCATATTCGCGTGCAATGCAGAATTAATTAATCTTTATCCATTTAAAATGTAAATATTCCTATTAAAGCTCTTTTTAAAGGAATTCTTTCAAGCCACTGTTCTTAAAGCAAAATTTATTTTTGAAACATATCCATAAAGGGGCACATTAGTTTTTCCTTTTCATTATGGTCAAAATGTAAGTATTTGCTAATTGTAGTACACGTTGGTACTAACTTGCATTCTCAAGTTTAGTACCAGTGTTCAGTTTTCGATTTTTTGACCAAACCCATCCGTACAGACCATACATAGCCTTAGTGACACAACTACAACAAAAACTAATAAATTGACCCTGCTGGATAGCAGTGCTAAACGGCTGGATATGCTCCTGCAAGCAAAGTATCCCAAAGTTGTCACATAGGGAGTTTCAATAAAATCTGATGGTTTTGCGAACTAAGCATTTACATCGGACCTTTTAACAGTAACTAAATAACAAAAAACAACTCCATCAATAGTTCAACCAACTTTCATCTAAGAAGTAGGGACAGAAGTATTGATGTAGATTTGTTGTTTAATTTCACTGTGCAATCATCAGTCTACCTAGACGCAGCCTAGTTTTTACATTTAATGCTAAAAGGTGTTTTAGAACTAAACTCAGTTCTGCAGGAAATAAAGTGATGAGAATGGCATGACTTTAGTGTATTTAGATCAACTTAACAGCCAAAGTATTTTTCAATGAAGACAACATTCTTTTCACTCAATTAACCTACTAAGAATAAACAAAAATTCTGAAAATTTGCATATCCAAATAATAACTTTAACAAAAAAAATTCCATTTTTTGCTAACAGCCTATGAACTGAACCATGTTAATGCAAAACAGTACTGGTCTAATCAAAAATGGCATGCATATGTTGCCTTGCATTTAAAATTTGAAAAGGAAATGCAGTGACATACAAGAACGATTCGTAAAAGAGAACACCAGATCCTCATTGATTCTTCAGTCGCGGCACAGAAAGCCCTTACCATGTTCGGATCCATTGTTACTGCAGAGTGAGGCTTAACAATAAAAAAACGGAGAATAGACCTTGACAAGATCGCTTCCGCTAGCTACCATGTTTTGACTCCTTTATTTCATATCACAAATCGAAGAACTAAAGTAATAAAATTTTGCACCTCAGACTTCTTACCACAACACTTAGAGGAAAATTCGTTGGCCATACCTTTTGGAAGCTGAATTAATTATGCAAAATAACTTGTAACTGCATTTCTTATGGGCAACTTAAGATCAGCGAGTACATATCAGTAGTAAATAAGCTAAAACTAATTTCTGAGCTCTTAGACAGCATAATTTTCAAAAAAAGATTAAATGAATTCTGGAGTCGATAAATGTATTTTGCATCGTAATTGAGATCATCGCGAATGAACATAGTTGCAGAGTTAGTCTTTTGTGGCCAGTGTTCTGTGGGAAAGAGTTACCACTTTCAAGAGTAATCTCCGTGGCATTTAAACGTATAATAGTGAGAACAGGCCATTAATTTCTTGCCTTCTGTAAGCATTTTATTCAGAGCCTTACTCGGAGATACGAAGTAAATGTTCAAGTTGGCCCACCACCAAGGTTTAAACGCATACAGCATTTGTGCAGTGTGTTAAGTTGTAAATAATCCAGTTTTAAATAATATGCGACTTTTCTTAAATTGGGAGTCGTGACATGTGTGGGTTTTCTGTAGGTTCGTTGGTATAGCGATATACTGAGATCCATAATTGTATGTTGTCAGCGTTGCTACAGACGAATCAATCATGCACAGTGATAAAAATAATAATAGTACAAGACCGTAACACTATTGGTAGCAAAAAAATTGTACGACCAACTGGTGGTCATGATAATCTTGGTAGCAACTTACAACGATGATTTGCTACGTCAAGGTATTGCCAAATCCCAACTGAATTTCTAAAAATATTTATTTACCGCAGATTTTAGTCATAAACGTACATGGTCAGTAGGATCAGATTGACTGTTAACTTCTTGGAAAGTAATATTAGTTTACAAATTTAAAACCAGTGAATTTTGGTACTTGAATACTATAACTACGATACAGCCCAGGGATCAACACAACTTGTTAGCCATTACGTAATGCAAGGCTTTCTGCAGCTGCTGCAGAGGCAACGCCCAAATGAGTCAGCAAAGTATAAAAGCAAGTTTTCCATGAAGTAACCACATTTAAGGTTACCTATCAGTATACATGGGAACAAAATTTATTTTGATTCACATTTTTAAACTCCCTCAGGCATTCAGGCGGAGGCGACATCAAATTTGTAAAAGTAACTAATGTTGTTATGGGCTATTGATGCTCACTTTTCAAACCAAAAACTTGCACTACCCCGCTAAATTAGAAGTTTTGTGTCTGTGTCAAATATAGTAGTAAAATTCTACGTAGAAAAGCTCTGTGATTAGAAACTCTACCTCAAAAATCTATCACCAGGCAAAATGAGCACTATTTCTAAGAACCATTTTAAAAACAAACATCTATTAAAGTGTAATTCGAAGCCTCAAGAAAGGAAGACAGCACTAGAGCAAGTAGTCACATTCAGGTCCATTGCTTGGTGTGGATTTTCAAATTTGCCTTAATTAACATTGGTTTGCAAACGTTGACCAAACCATGATGAGTCCTTACCTTGCGCAGCCCTCGCGATATTGTCATAATTGTTTTTTTAAGGACACCGTTTTGAATACTTCAAAAACTTTTATTTTAATCAACAAATTTGATCCAAGAAAGTGTACACCACCACGTCAGATTAAGCATTTCTAACATGTGCGAAAATGCTATAAATAGGGCCCAACCACCAATAGTTACACAACGGAAGAAGTAAAGCAGTTGACTTAGTCAGAACTGATTGTATGATACCTGAAGTTTAAGTTACATTCAGTACATGGTATAAGTTGTTAATTTGAACCCAGATGCAGTTTGGATTAGGTAATGGATTTCAGTAATGTTGATTTCGTTGAAAGTTTTTTTTTAAAATAAGACTCACTGCTGTGTCTCATTTGTTTTAATATTTTAAAAATGTACTCGTGGTTTTAAGTGTTGTTAATTTTAACACTCAAAACGGTGCTTTAAAAAGCATTCGTTAAGGTAAAAGACAAACCGTCTACGCTCTCTGTGTGTACTGTTGGGCATGTTTGGCTCGCTTTCAAGCACACCTTTTTCAAAACCCCATTGAGGAAATAGACAAGAACCAAACGTTTACAGTCACAAAACTTTTTTTACAAAGAAACAAACAGCAGGTGATAAGAAAGTCAAAAAGTACGAGTATTATTTAACTTGTCAAACCACAGAATGCCCACAAACTCGTCAGCTGCTTGAATCAGTCTACCAGGTGGTGGGTTATTGTGTTCGTGTCACTTGTAAACTAAAATCTAACCCTCCGGAAGATTAACATGAGGTAGGAATGCGTAGGTCGACGACTAGATAACGGCAAAATGAGCAAAGTGGATTAACAAATAACCAAACAATTAGATGATGGGTAAATAAGTAATTCATTGGAGGTGTGGCCGCATCTTCAGTGTCAGAATCAGCAATGGTGTGGATGCGACACCGCCAAGTACATCGATGTTAAATTAATTTTACTGTATTTTGGCGCGATTTCTCTACCAGGGCTTAGCGGTCTCTAGAATCATTTTTTATTGAAAGAGGATGTGAACCAGGGAAGGGACGGTCGTAACCATTCTGAGCTAGTCAAGATTTTACATTTCCGATAGATTCAATGTGTTTGTGAAGTCGTTGTTCGAGGCGAATGAGAAGTCATTGTCAAGTAAGCCTAATGATAATTACTTGGCAGATGAGCATCAAAATAGACCTGGGTTCTGGTCATTTCTCGCGAAATCTGGACAATCGATTTTCCCTATTTTTTTGTAAGGCAAGCCTTCAATTTGTTCTGATTGCGACTTGACAGTATCACATCGGGTTCACAAATCGGTAGAGTACCACATCAGTAATCATTAATCATTTGAATCTAAAAGTTATGTGTTGAGGCAGAAATATTAAGCAGGCATAACCGTCTGATCATCCACTAGGTACGGTGCTTTGAGTTGCAGGGAGATCCAATGAAGACTGAAGGGATGTGCAACGAATAGCGAGGGCGCTTAGAAATCGTATTTTTTCATTTGCACACACAGAATCGGCGAACAAAGGAACTTGTGAATCAATGATACGACGAGGTAAACACAATGATGTTTCTGCCTTGATGGGGTCAGGGGTGTCAGAGTTTGTACGAAAAAATACATGCGACCACCAATTGAGTAGAAACTCAACAAGTACAAAGCGCTAAGTGCTGATTGGCACTGCGTTTTGAAACTTCAATTCAAAACATCGCTCAAATAAGTGATCGGAGGGGACTGTACAAAGATACTGGTGAATTGGCAGATCCTTGACCAAATGACAACAAGGGAATAAGCAGAATGTAGGGGGAAATGACCTGATAGTAGGACGAGTATGAATTGAATGATTTTTGGTAGACTCCTTCTACGCGATATAACATGCTCTCGACTCACTTGTCTTATGCTAAAACATTACTAATCTCGACGATCTATTATTTTTTCATCCTGAAACGAGCTATATTTTTGTCCCCAAAAGTTAGGTTGGACCCTGAATTTCCTTCATTCATCATGTTTTAGCTTTTTCGCAAATTTGCTCTTTAATTTAAATTATTTAAGTGTTTGGCCCAAGCTCGTGACGATAAACAATCCATGCACAGGTTTACCTTCTGGAACAATAAAAATCTTAGGCATAAAGGTGCTGTAAAAAGCAAAATTACGGTGAGCTTAGAGACATGCAACGTTATCTGACATTTGAAGTGTTGAATGTGTTAACAGTTTAAACGGTTTATAAAGAAGGCGGCGATGAAAATCATTAAATTTGCGTGCGAATTTTAACTGCTAATGCTGATTTTGTTGTCATTTTGAGAAAAGCATGGAAGAAATTCGTCTAAAAAGTGCACAAATGGTCACAGTGTTCACGATTGCAATGAATTTAATTAATTAAAGCTCTGCTTAAAATCTGAATTTGCAAAAATTTGTAGTTACAATGTCTTGATTTTTGGCCAAAAATTAGTCATAGACCTTAAAATGTTTTCACGAATCCCAAACCAAAAGTATTTTTTTATTTTAAATTAAAAGTGCTTTGAGTAACAAACCCCCTGAAGGTCAGAAAGATTTATTACTTTGAGTACAAACCCATAAGGCGTTGGTGCATTGTCTTTGAGCCAACCTCCAATTGTCGTGTAAAGATACAGATGATCTCCGAAGGCAGTAACTCTCGCTAAATCCGAAATCTACAGCCAAAAAACATTTATAAGAGTGCCGTGTGAAGCCACCCACCAATTACAATTACGGCAACTGCTGCTAAATACGAAAACATGTCTCTGGCAAATAAGGAATAAAGAATGCATAACATAACATTAGCTATTATCTGTAATGCTGCGCCGAGGCATCATCGATGTGGCCCTGGATCTCAAAAATGCAAATAACGGGACAACTGAGCTGCAATAAGGAACAAATTCTTCAATCATTTGCCGTAAAAATTTACATGCATATTAAGCGCCAGTAATTGGATGGTTTTTATAACGAAAATTTTTAACAGTTTTGAAACTGTACAAGCATAGGCAGGGCCCAAGCATCATCCACCGCCAGGGCCACTCTCAAAAAGCTAACTCTACACCGCTCTGGCGAGGACTGATGAATGCGCCTTGGTCCAAGGATTACGTAGTGCCTGCACAAAGTTTACTCCCTTGTACGTGAGTGGCATCATGTTCTTTGGAAAATACTTAAGGTTTCCTGTCCGACTGCAATTTTTATCTTGACTTTTGACAAGCCAAATGCCCGTAGGGAGACACTTCTTCACCCAAGTGGTCGATTTCTCGTGGTCAAAAAAGAAAAGGTTCACTGCTTATTTATGTGCAGGCTTTTTCACCTGAGTAGTCAGACTGTGCAAGTATAAACCAAAACTTTCTTAATTAAAGACAGTTAACACTCTGGTTTTAACTAAAATTGACAAATTGGTGTGTTAAGTTTTGATGCTAAGGTGGGTTCGACCCATGCGTTGTCTGTAAAGTAAGCGTGGTCAAACATTAAAGGCAGCCATTGGCATATGACTAGGCCGGTTGTTCACTTACACCAGAACCTCGCTTTTTAGAAGCGTACAGGCCGGAACTCCGAAGAACGCAGTATCGCCGTTTCCACTTGTTACCCGGGTGAAGAATGTACAAATAGTCTTTAAAGGGTGGCAATCTGTTGCTACCGTCTTTTTCTAGCATATCCTGAAAATAAAAAAAAACTCAGTCTAATAGACGCCTAAATTTCCACACGATGTCAATTTAAACAAATCTGTCTTTTTTTCGGCCAAATAAATTGCCAAAATGTGATATTGTGTTTTATTCGTCGTTGATTTTGCTGCAAATATATCTAACAGTTGTTAAAGATTGATGATACGAATATCGGAGTAATTCCCTTCATGACCTCAAGTTTCGACGAACTTTTTTTAAAATCGAATGCACAATTTTTGTTTTCATTAATCAGAAAAGCATAACTGCATGTCTTCCAAGAAAGGACCTTGTTTTAGACGAATACCCTGACTATTAAATTCATTTTCAAGGACATAACCAGCGTTTATTAATTTAAATAAAAACGTAATTCCAATTGTCAATTTCAAGTTGTTATGACTAAACATGCTATTTTCCAGAGAAAACTAAACCAGAAGCTGTGTTGGCCTTTGACAGTTTGTTCGTCGCCTTTCTTGGTGTGTGGTTGTTTACGTCTAATCACGAACAATTTATTAAATTGAGATGCACGCTAATAAAAAAAAGCTTACCTTTAGCAGCGAATTCTTCATTTGCGCAGATTTGCCCTCCAGTGTGTTCCCAAGCCAAGTCTTAGAGAAACCAATATTATGAATGACAGGAGTTTGTATTAGGGATATATTTAAACGCTTTGTATCGTCTCAAATGACAGAATACAGCTATAATGCTTTCGGACTTGGTGTCTTTCGTTTAATTGGCTCAGCCATATGTACTTTCGACTAACCCTAGCAGGTATGCAAATGTCCGCATAATTTACCATTTTCTTCTGACTGAACACCTGATTTCATGATGGTCGTCTTTCTATAACTCGAACCAGTTTCATCAAAATGACTACATTTAAAGGCTTTTGCGTTAATGAAGGCTGTAAAGCTATCAGAGGTCTGATCTTTCACAAATTTCAAAATAGTTTAATGTTGCTTTGTATTTTTTCTATTAAACTGCTTTGAGGTATTTTACAGCCGATGGGTTTAAGCAGGCGTCGTAAACACCATGTCCTTAATTCTTGCTCCTATCGACAAACAAAAAGTGCCATTGAATAATATTTCTTTAGCCAAAACACCATTTCACTTGAGAGACCTCAAAGAGATTTAACAAATTGAAGATCATCGAAATGACGTTAAGTAAGTCAGGTTGATTCGACTAAAAATATTTCTTATCAAAGGCCTATCAAGAAACCATCATTTAAAATTACAACCCCAACTTGTCAGTCAAAACAAATCCATCAAGTTGTAGACACAGGCGGCTGCTGCTTTATTGTTGCAATTTCATTAGCCTAAGTGTCACACAAGTTAAATTCTGCACAAATTGTTTCCTGCATTTGATCTTATTACAACAAATCTGTCGCTCTTAGTGGTTGACTCACAGATTGCATCCTATTTAGAAACAGTGTATCAAATAAATTTCTGCCCAACTTCTTTTAGTGATTCCGTATTGTATTTCCTTAATACAAGTTCAAAAAAATCAATATCCTTTTCAAAGGTACTAAAATGGTTCTAACAGTGTTCAAAAAAACTAAGTGTGCTAACTGAGTTTACCTGTGGATCTTCAAAAAGACCAAAAACGTCTTGACGTTCTTCAAAGAAAATGAGGTTTGTGCAGTGTATGGGCCAGCTAAGGATGCAATCTCGCACGCATTCATCATCCTCAAAGCATCGCTCTAAAGATATAAGGGAGGCGTCAATATGTGGCCGCGATTTTTCACTCTGCTGCCTGATGACCAACTTATTGACTAAATTAGCTTACGTGATTATAATTCCGAAGCCTACTTTTTATGGGCATCAAGTGATGCTTCGGCTACTGCTCATATCAATAAGCCATTTAAATTTGACAAAATTAAACCTATCGCACGTTACGTGTCTCGATAAAGCCATAGTGCAAGTTGTTAGACATTTAAAATGGTTACAACCCACATGCTAAAATTATTTTCGACAGAGATTTTTTCATAAAACCGAAAGATAGAAACAGAATTTCAATAAATTCAATAAGGTACAAGTCTCTCATGGAACTAACCAAGCTTCATCGATGGAACCTTTTCGACGAGAGCCATTCGGGTACTCAGAGGGAGAAAATTCTTGGCCGCCAGCACGAAGATAGCTTCACCAGCGCTTGTTTGAGACTGTAGATAGATGGCTTTCGTTGTTCGGTCAGGATGGTGTACTCGAAGTATGACCTATTTTAAAGCTACTATAGTTTTGGCAGGGCCGCTTTATTTTTAAAATATAGGTCAGCTTATCGTGAGGAGACCAGAAAAGTCGGATTTCCTTCCAGTTCGCTTGTCATACAACAATTTTGGAGGTTGGTGGATAATACTTCCATTAGTAATGCAATAAATCCAAGGTGGTTGCACACAACTAGAAGCAAGGTTTTGTTTAGGGTGAACAGCCACAATTAGGACTGGCTGCCGTGGAAACT